ACAATAAATTAATCATCATGACTCTGTGTTCTATAGGTTCCATGCATAGTTGCATTTGTCATCTATTCTTATGATTCTACTGTTTGGGTTATTTTAGGAGAAATCAATTTAGCAGTGATCGCCGTGTAGAAGAAACTTGGAATTGATAGTTTATATCAAATATACTTTATTGATAATAAATGTATGTTCATAGTATACAGAAACGCCAAAATAATGGTATTTAACAGAAAACAAAAAAAATAATGCATTTTGGAGAAAAGGGAGAGGGCTTGAAAAAAATTGTCCCGTCTCCAGGAGTCCCTATGAATTTTGATACCTTTTCTGAAATTATCCAGATTTATAAAAAGAGATGGACCATTTTGTACATATACCAAGGGGAAACTTCGTGCAAAGCATTATTATTTATAGTTTAATTGAATTAAGTAGAAAAAGAAAATTTGGTGAAAATAAAACCAAGATTTTTTTAGAAAATCCACAGATTTTAAGACCGAGATTTTTATACGATTCCAATTTTTTTTGGGGGGGGGGGGGGGGATCGTATAATGGTATGATGTGGTTGTTGTCGTCTACGTCGTCCGAAGACACATTTGTAGTTTCTGGACTATAACTTGTGTGTAAGTGTATGGATCTCTCTGACATTGTACCACAAAGTTCCATATCATAAAAGGAAGGCTGGGATTGAGTTTGGGGGTAATTGCCCCATTCATGAAGGAATTCGGGGCCATAAAAGGGCCAAAAAACATTTTTTTAGTTATTCTAGTTTTTCAGACAATAATTTAACTTGTGTTTAAGTCAATGTATGGATCTTTCTGAAATTGTACTACAAGTTTCCATACTACAAAGGAAAACTGGGATCAAGTGTTGAGGTTATTGCTCCAAAGGGCGGGGGGGGGGGGGGGGGGGGGGGGGGTTGTGAGTTCAAAAAGTTTGCAGGTTTCCAATTTTTTAAAAGGGGTTTAATTTTTTTTTCAAAATTTTTCAAATTTTAAAATATTTCAAAAGTTTCAAGAAGAAATCTTTAATTGCACAGTATTGCCCAATAGATTTGAAAGACCTTTACACATGTTTTGTGTCAGAAACCTATATTATGTCAAAAATTTGATCACAATCCTAATTCAGACAGTAATAAGCTTGAATATTGTGTCAAAATTTGCCCCAACTGTTCATGGTTCAACTTCTGCGGTCATATCAGGCTGCGCTCAGCGCCGAAGCATTTTATTTTTGTTATAATATTTTAAACATATATAACTCAATTAAAAAAATCATTGCTAGCACTGAATGCAATAATCCTTCATCAATAAAGCATCGAATCGCCAAATATGACAGTACAAGGGAAAAGCTGTGGATTTTCTAAAAAAAAATCCATATGTTTAGCATTTAATCAACACAAGGGTACATAATCCTTAAAAGCCTTTGAGAACGTAACTTTATAGCAAGGAACTATAACGTATGCAGATTTTCTTTGAACACATACGAAGGTCTTGAATATTGGGGGGGGGGAGGTCTTTCAATCCTAATTGTCTTTTAATTTGTTAGTCATCTGTTTTTCTCTATTCTTCATATTTTTTTCTCATTATTCTATATTCTTTATTTTCTTGGCGTCTATTTTTCTTTACTTTTCTGGTCCTATGTTGTGCACTTTTTGTCCATTTGTGTTCTCTATTCTTCTATAAATCCTGTCCAGACCCTCACAAACATACATAATCAATAAGTTCCGCTCCTATTACCTAACCCCACTTGACATGGATATAGATAATTGTCATCCATGGGGTTTTCTCATCCGTTTTGAATATAACATTGCTATTAAAACGGGTACGTTATAAAAAAATTCGTAAAGGTTCCGCGGAACCCAGTGTCTCGCCTACTTTTGCTGTTAATCGCAGGCTCAACAAAAATGAGGAAAAAAATTAATAAAAATATTCCTCTATATACTATCTTTTGATTGTAAGTAGCTTCTGTCCAAGTTTGGTAAAAATCCAGTATAGTTTATGAATCTAATAAATGTTTTAAAAACTTAAACTGCAGACTGTATGTAATGTTAACTGGAAGAAAAACTAAGTCCATTTATAAGTAAAATACGGAAAAAATGGAACAAAATTTTAACAAAATTTCCTTCTAGATACTAGCTTTAAATCATAAACAAGCTTCTGTCCAAGTTTGGTACAAATCCAGGATAGTTTAAGAAAGTTGTTAAAATTTTAAAAACTTAAACCACAGAGTGAATGTAATGTTAACTGGCAGAAAAACTAAGTCCATTTATAAGTAAAATTCGGAAAAAATGGAATTTTTTTTTTACAAAATTTACTTCTGGATACTATCTTATGATCATAAACAAGCTTCTATCCAAGTTTGGTAGAAATCCAGGATAGTTTAAGAAAGTTATTAAAATTTCAAAAACTTTAACCACAGAGTGAATGTAATGTTTCCTGGCAGAAAAACTAAGTCCATTTATAAGTAAAATACGGAAAAAATGGAACTTTTTTTTTACAAAATTTACTTCTGGATACTATCTTATGATCATAAACAAGCTTCTGTCCAAGTTTGGTAGAAATCCAGGTTAGTTTAAGAAAGTTATTAAAATTTCAAAAACTTTAACCACAGAGTGAATATTTGTGGACGCCGCCGACGACGACGACGACGACGACGCCGACGCCGACGGAATGTAGGATCGCTATGTCTCGCTTTTTCGACAAAAGTCGAAGGCTCGACAAAAAGAAGACGTCGTATGATTGCCAATAAAACAACTCTCCACAAGAGAAATGACACAGAAATTAACAACTATAGGTCACTGTACAGCCTTCAACAATGAGCACAGCCAATATTGTATAGCCAACTTTAAAAGGACAACATAATTAGGAGTCCATTACATCAGATATAACATATAAATACGCAGTCACGTATACGTCCGATGCTAAATTGTTGACTTTGTTGGAAGGCAAAATGATTAGCCCTATACTGACTGGAACTAGTATATATATAACTGAAACTAGATGAAAATCAAGGAATCTACACATGCTGTAATAGCAAATCTGAACGGAACCAAAACGCATGTTTGTAAAAAAATAAATAATATACAACTTACATTTCAGCAACTGTTATATTAGTAATTATTAATGATGTAGTTCGTGAATAAATTGTCCTACACAGTGGAACAAATGGACTGTCTAAGTACGTTAATGTCTGGATTAATATTTCTGCAAAGACGTTGTCATTTTATTGTTTCCATTAACCGACTTAAATAAAAATCAAATTATAACTTTGTAATGATTATAAATGTTTACCTTTTGAAATTAATTTTGGTTTATTGAATATATATACGGGAAAAAAAGAACTCAAATGTTTTATTTCCATGTATTTTATGACATATTAAAAAACATCTTTGTGTAAAAGAAAAATCGAATCACATCAAATTTTGATCGGCCGTAAAATAAACTTCACATCACTTTATTTATATCACAAATCAAATTACAAAACCTTCTCAACGATGTCATAATAGAAAGCACGAGTGATCTATCTGGCGGACCAACTTGTGGCTAATGATTGACAGGTATGATTAGATCTTGAGGCTCCTATGGGGAACGTGGTGTCGAAAGGAAAATAGAAGATTATTCAATTATAATTTTTAGGACTCGTACGAAATGTGATCTGATATGGAAAATTTTGAGTTCTTTTAATAGCACAAAGAAATAAGACGTTAGAAGGGTAACAATTGTGTAACTATAAACCAATGACTCGTATGTAATTTACGGGAAAGATTTTATCAAAAGTTCGTTGAAAACTTTCAATTTCAAACCTTCTTGGTTGGAATGAATATGTTCGATTTATATGCAAATAGGTCTTCATTATATAATATATTTAAATTATCTTCATTAATTACAATACAATATATAACATGCATCTATGATATCCTCCGTAACGACTAAATATATGTACAGGTAAAATTAAATTCTGATCAATCGGGTACAGATTGATTTACGACCTTCCACTGGTATTGCACAAGCAATATCACAGCAGGTGTTAAATACACTAGGACAAGTGTCAGATCAGTTTGACATCCTGCCCGATTACGGTATCTTCCGGAGACTCTATAAGTACAAGGACTGATTTTTTTTCTAAACATGACAATTGTGAAGAATTTTTTAAAGTGAGAACAAAGTTTCTGACCCAAACTATCGATTCACATTATGAATCTATCATGAATAGTAGATTAGTTTACGTTTTTTAACGTAAATACGATTTCCATTCATATATTAAAAAAATTGTAGTTGTCTTTAGCAAAGATAACACGTGTATTCATCTTGTTCATTGGTCACATTAAAATAGATTTTTCTTTAATGAACAATGACAACATTTGATATTTAAATCGTAAGTAACTTTATTATCAAAAACACCGTTTTATCTCGACCGAAAAGGGAAATAAGATAGTTTTTTTAATCTGACTGTAAACATTGTATATATCACAACGATCTATTAATAACCGTCGCTCACGCATAACGGATTCTATAATCATCTATGTACAACGATCTATTAATAACCGTCGCTCACGCATCACTGGTTCTATCACTGACTCAATACACACCCGTTTTATCGGACAAACGGCTAATTCCCGCCGACACGGAAAATCTCTGGATAACATGCATAATATTCTGTAATACAGCAAATTTACGATGAACCTCTAATTATTATCCGTTTCGCGGAGATTGGCCAAAAATCGCGGGCATTTTCCAAATAGGTCTACCAGTGATATATATTCATGATATAAAATGTCAACACAATTTTGAACACATACATATATAGGAAAACTCAGCTTATAAACACAAAAATAACAAAACTGATGATGTGAAAATTTACTTTTATTAGAAATTATTATATTTTTCATCATTAACAGAATGTTTGAACATGTTCAAAAATACTAGAGACTAAAATCATTTTTTAAACTAGAACATGCATTTTAAAGAAACAGTATTATTTGGTTCAATGTGTTTATGTTGATTTTTCAGTGATAAACTAACAGAGGAAAACAGAATTTTGTCAAAGATGATAAGCAGTCTATCTAAAGAGAAAGAAAAATTAAAAGAGGAAAGTGATTTAAACCAGAAAACATTAAATGAGGTATGACATTGAATTTCCCTTGGCTGCTGGATTGAGTACAAACATATTGCACTTGGAACTGATATACTTTTGTACCTTATCTAATTTGGTAGACTCATACCATTTTTAGAAAATAAGACGACCCTATAATTAGTATAAAATTGAATGACCACATACATCAGACTGAAAATGGATCCATTAGCTAAATACCAAAAACATTGACAATACAAGATCTACAATTGCTGCATTTCCAGGGAAAATTTGATGTCTCAAAGCAATTAGCTTCATGTCACAATATCCTATGACACATTTTTCTCCTATCGATGCCAGGTCAACCATGGCAGTTTATTCATAAAACCAAAATTGGAAACTCGTCTATGATGGTCATCATTGTTTCCAAACTTGCTGAATCATTCCGAGTTGCCATGCTTTTTGTCTCGCCTGCGACGAAAGTCGCATTATGCGAGACACAGGTATTACTATCCTAAGGCGGTGGCGACGTAAACTATTTGTATAAAGATTTATATTTTAGAAGGTAGAAGACCTGGATGCTTCATACCTTGTATGCAGATACCTTATGTTACGAAGTTTCCGTCTGTCATATGCCCATTGTCCTTGACCTCGTTTTCATGGTTCAGTGACTGCTTGAAAAAAAATTACAGTTTTTTTGTCATGTGAATTTCTCACTTATTATGAGTAATAGGATAACTATATTTGGTGTATAGGTTCCTTGCAACGTCTACATGTCCGTCAGACAGGGTTAACCTGACCTCGACCTCAATTCATGGATCAGTGATCAAGGTTAAAGTTACGTGATTAGGTCCGTTTCTCAGATACTACAAGCAGCAGGTCAACTATATGTGGTGTATGGAATGATTGTAAGGGGTACATGTCAGACTGGTAGGTTTCATCTGACCTTGACCTCATTTTCATTGTTCATTGGTCATTGTTAATTTTTTGTGTTTTGGTCTGCTTTTCAAGTACTGTAAGCAAATATGTCAACTGTATTTGGTCTATGGAATGATTGTAAGGTGTACATGTCTGTCTAGCTGGTGTCATCTGACCTTGACCTTTAATGGTTCATTGGTCAATGTTAAGTTTTTGTGTTTTGGTCTGTTTTTCAAGGACTATAAACAATAGGTCAACTATATTTGGTTTATGGAATAATTGTAAGGTGTACATGTCTGTCTAGTCAGTGTCATCTGACCTTGACCTCATTTTCATGGTTCATTGATTAACATTAAGTTTTTGTGTTTTGGTGTGTTTTTCAATTACCGTAAGCAATGGGTCAACTTTATTTGGTGTATGGAATACTTGTTAGGTGTACATGTCTGTGTGACAGTTTTTATCTGACCTTGACCTCATTGTCATGGATCTTTAAAAATATTAAGTTTATGTGATACTTGTAGTAAAACCTTTATCTTTAAGACTTTCAACATGAAATCAATGGTCAGTAAAACAGGCGGGACATTTTATAGTGTGCACTGTTGTTTAACATTGCCATAGACTCTGAAGCTTAACAAAACTTTTGGATCAAGTTTACGTCTCTGATAAGAAATAATTATAATTTTTTGTATATAATTGTATATAAACAAGGAAAAGATTGCCTTGACATGATTGTTTGCTGAAAAAAATTTAACACCTAATAATCAGGAAATATATTATATTTGCTGTTAGTTAATTGTTTACTAAATGAGTCTGATGAAACATACTCTTGTGAAATTGTAAAAATATAAAGAAAGTAAAATTGAATTAGATTGAAACTTATCCTATGTTATTAGAATTACATGCATAGTTCACACAATTATAACATATTCTTTCCAGAAGTGTGTAGTTTTGTCAACAGTAGAAGAAAAGAAAATAGATATAGAAAATCAATATCAAACTCTGCAATATAATTATGATACTCATAAAACAAAGGTAATATTGATTAAATTGTACTTCGAGTAAGAAGCTAATGATAAGACATGTTTTTGTCTCGCCTTGACGGAGTCAAAAAGCGAGACATAGGTATGCTGTTTCCGGCGACGGCGTCAACAATGTATTAGTTTGTGATTAGGTCTAGTTCATGGTGATCCACTAGTGGTAGGTCAATGATATTTGGTATGCAGTTGTATTAGCATTGGCACATCTCATTACCATGGAGATTATTTGGCCCGGCCCCCTCAGTCAAGGTCTATTGACTTTGAAACTTTTCATAGTTTACATGTATTAGTTTGTGATTAGGTCAATTTATGGGGAACCACTAGTGGTAGGTCAATGATATTTGGTATGCAGTTGTATTAGCATTAGCACATCTCATTACCATGGAGATTATTTGGCCCCCCCCCCTCAGTCAAGGTCTATTGACTTTGAAACTTTTCATAGTTTACATGTATTAGTTTGTGATTAGGTCAATTTATGGGGAACCACTAGTGGTAGGTCAATGATATTTGGTATGCAGTTGTATTAGCATTGGCACATCTCATTACCATGGAGATTATTTGGCCCCGCCCCCTCAGTCAAGGTCTGTTGACTTTGAAACTTTTCATAGTTTACATGTATTAGTTTGTGATTAGGTCAATTTATGGGGAACCACTAGTGGTAGGTCAATGATATTTGGTATGCAGTTGTATAAGCATTGGCATATCTCATTTCAATGGAGATTATTTGGCTCCGCCCCCTTAGTCATGGTCTATAGACTTTGAAAATTTTGCTAAGTTAACATGTATTAGTTTTCTTATTAGGTCAGTTCAAGGGGAACCATTAGTGGTAGGCCAATGTTAATTTGTGTTCAGTTGTATAAGCATTAGCACATCTCATTTCCATGGAAAATATTTGGCCCCGCCCCCTCAGTCATGGTCTATTGACTTTGAAACTTTTGCTTAGTTTGCATGTATTAGTTTGTGATTAGATCAGTTTAAGATGAACTGCTAATGTTAAGTCAATGATATTTGGTATGCAAATGTATTGGCATTTGCAAATATCGTTTCCATGGAGATTATATAGCCCCACCCCTGATCATGATTCATTGACTTTAAAACTTATACATAATTTGTGTTTAGGTTTGTTTAAAGGGAACAACTTATAATAAGTCAGTGGTATTTGGTATGCAATTGTATTAGCATTGGCACATCTCATTCCTTGGAGATTGTTTAGCCATGTACCTTCAGTCATGGTTCATCGACTTTGAATATTTGCATAACTTACATGATAAAGTATTGCTATTTTAATTTCAACATTTGCATTATCAAAATTACAAAAAGGCGAGACATATCTCTGTGATAACAGAGTATTCCAGTTAACATTACGTACAGTCTGCAGTTAAAGTTTTTAAAACATTTATTAGATTCATAAACCTTCTTGGATTTTTACCAAACTTGAACAGAACTTCTTACAATCAAAAGATACGATCTAGAGGAAAGTTTTTAATAATTTTTTCCTCATTTTTGTTGAGCCTGCGACTAACAGCAAAAGTAGGCGAGACACTGGGTTCCGCGGAACCCTTACAAATTTTATGAATTTCAGTGGCTATTATTTTTTATGTATTTCATTATTCGTAAATCAACAAAACTATAAAGAAAGGCAGGTTTACCATTGATTTATTGTATGCATACTTCAGAATAATTCATTTTCCAACAAACTAGAATCATGTGCAAAACAGTGTAGCCGAGACCATTGATTGGCGCGCTAAAATATCCCATTGACTGGGTCAGATTAGGTGAACGTTCGTCTGTAACGCCCACAACTCACGACGTATTTATTATAAACATTTAAACTGTGGGGTTGCCAAAGGGTCTCAGTATATATACGAACTACAGTGCACAGTATATTATATACATATTTTATTTGCGATCATAAAATGTACGAAGTCGTCCATTACTATGTAAATTGGGTCGATTAAAAAAAAAGCTGAATATGTTTCTGTTGCCAAGGGTTTTTCACAAGTATAGTAGTTAGCAGAAAAGATCATCAAACTATACATTGTATACTGAACTGCGGCCAAGCTTAGCGAAAGGTCGTTCAACATAATCAGTCAAACAAACTTTATTAGATTAACTCGTTAAGGAACGATCGTTTTCATTGGTCAATTCAAACCTTTGACCTCACACCTGCGAAAATAGAACACGCGTACTATAAAGCTGAATGGACTGATCAGTATTCACGTAGCCGGTCAAGGTGGTTAAAAACTTCCATCGTCGTAATCACGTACTTGATTGTGTTCTTGATTATCCCATGGCAATTCTAGCTTTTATACATGTGCATGTAAAATTTTAAACTTTAATCTTAACAGTCACGTCGAAATATTTAATTCAACTGTCTCCTCTCAATTGGTTCTGGATTAAGGGAGCTACCATTTTATTTTGATTGGGGGTGGGGGACTTGGATGAAACATTTTGTCCTGCATTTTTTTTAGTTGTTATCTCTGTCCTGTCTTTCTATTTTTCAGTCTGTTAGGTCCTGACTATATTTATTAGTTTATCCTGATTTTTTTACATAAATCGTCATCCTGCCTTTTTTTTGTCAAGTTGCTCACCCTGCCTTATCTTTTATTCAATGGACTTGATGAATTAACGTTGTACTTGAAATGAAACCGTACTTAACTACAAAAATAACCAAATTACATACTAAAGATATTGCTCGATTTTTATAGTAAATGGGTTTGTGTTATAAACTGTCATGTTCATTATTCATATTCTTTCATAAGTTTTAGGATAGTGTGATTTTTTTTCTGATTTAGTTTACTTGATTTTGAAAAAAAAATCCCGAAATTCTAAGTAAATTCAGAACATGTAACCAGCCATGCTTTGTTTAGAGAAAAAATGGAGATGGCAAACCATGGCACAGTGGAAGGAAATGTACTTTATAAACTCCAGCGATATACTTTCTTAATTTATAATTAACTGTTTTGCTATCCTCGGTTGAAAATTATATATTGTAAATATTTAAATAGTTGCATAGAAAACAATCAGTTTTAAACAGTGTGGTTATTCACTAAATGTATTGATAAAAGGTGACTCCATTTTTGTACATACTTTTACAGTAGTCATCCTTAATTTCTTAATATTTCGTTTATAAGTTTATCATCATGTATGATTTTGTATTTCATTTTAATACGCACGCATGCCACACGTTACTTTGGCGGATAGTTCAACAATGTTATGCAAAGCTCTATTCTTACGGTATGAAATTAAAGGATAAATTTTCAACCAATTAAAATCATAACAGTACATTTATATAGTTCCTTATAAACTACGACATTTCTCACAAGTATTTATTTATTTTTTAGTTCCACACATGCAAAAATAAAATCTTCGCCGATGAAACATTTCAAACCTTTTTACACCAACATGCCTTCACTGAATTCATTTGAATTTCGTGGTGACCATGATAGTACATTGCATAGTACATCTATATTCACGTGCACACATGATACGATTTTTCGGGGACAATTTGCTCGTTTATGACACGTCATTTCTGAATGACCAAAAGCTTAGCTACTTTATTTTCGTTTTATAGCATGAAAACAATAAAAGAGGAATGTGCAACCCATCATAAATTTGAAATGGATCAGTATTATGAGATCCTTATTATAAGTAACTACGACATTGTCAGGATAATAACCTAGCGTCAATATGAAAGAAATTAAAGTGGTTCATACATTCATCCGTATAAAAGCGGCACATGTATTTTATTTTATCCTTATATTTTTCATAGTGCGGTACAAGTGCTGCATGCATAAAGAATATTACTTAACACAAATTATTAGTATAATATTTCGACCCCACTATTTGAAATTCATAAAATACTTATTTAATTATTTCGACCAAAAATCATTGTTTTTTACGTTCGTAATATAGTACATTCCATTGTCGGTCACCTGTGTCAATTTACGTGCACACTACAATTGTTGTTGTATTTAAATCTTTCGGCCAATGAAATGATACGTTACAAGTTGTTTGTTTGTGATACGCCAGAATGTTATCAATGAATTATCAATCGCTAAACTTGACTGTACCTATTCAAAAACGTAAATGCAAATTTCATAAGGCTTGATCCAAATAGCCTTTTTACTGTCTAATAACTTGCAAGTAAGAAAAAGACAGGAAAGAAGTATATTTTGTCTATATGTTTTGTGTTTGCACACTTTTTAAAGTTGATCATGCATTCGTTCTAAAATAAAATTTTGACCAGATAAAAGTTAAAAGATGACATAATTGGACAACCGCAATTGTTAAATCGCTTTGACGTCCGAAAAAAAGATAATAATCAACACATCCATTGTAACTTTTAAAGCCAGTTAAATCCTTTTTTGCTGAAAGAACGTCCGATATCATCAAAATTCATTATCAAAGCATAACAAAAACACAAGTAAAGAACGTTTAAGTATTCAATATAAATCAAAACACAAAGGTTATTCCTGATTAGTTTTTCGAATTATTTTATTTAGGCGTTGAGACCCTTTGGTGACCCCACAGTTTAAATGTCTATAATAAATACGTCGTGAGTTGTGGGCGTTACAGACGAACGTTCACCTAATCTGACCCAGTCAATGGGATATTTTAGCGCGCCAATCAATGGTCTCGGCTACACTGTTTTGCACATGATTCTATGAATATTACCACACAGGTAATAAGATTTTTGCAACTGTAATTTGTTTTAAAAAAGTTATAACAAATATAAAGTTGAGAATATAGAATAAAGGTCTATCTTAGTGTCTATCTAGGCAGTATTGCTTATATTAAAGAATAAAAGTCATAAGAACATATATAGCACTTTATTAATTAATCTTCTCTACAAATTACGACACTTCTTCAGTATTACAATCTTTAGTGAAAGGTTTCCAGCTTAATTGAACACCATAATGTTCTTGGGGATATACAATCCATTATATGTATCCATATATGACTGAAAAAATTATTCAGAATACATTTCCATATTTTAGTCAAATAAACTTATAGAGGAAAAAGATGAACACATAGAACAATTAAAAGAAAGAATACATGTACTAGAACAGAGGTTTCAGGACCAGAGTTTGTCTGGAGATGACAGGGTATCAGCTTTAGAATTAGAGGTAAATACACATAGTGTCAGGTTTCAGGACCAGAATTTGTCTGGAGATGACAGGCTATCAGCTTTAGAATCAGAGGTAAATACACATAGTGTCAGGTTTCAGGACCAGAGTTTGTCTGGAGATGTCACAGGGTATCAGCTTTAGAATCAGAGGTAAATACACATAGTTTCAGGACCAGAGTTTGTCTGGAGATTACAGGGTACCAGCTTTAGAACCAGAGGTAAATACACATAGTGTCAGGTTTCAGGACCAGAGTTTGTCTGGAGAAGTCACAGGGTATCAACTTTAGAATCAGAGGTAAATACACATATTGTCAGCTTAAGAACCAGAGGTAAATACACATATTGTCAGGTTTCAGGACCAGAGTTTGTCTGGAGATGTCACAGGATATCAACTTTAAAATCAGAGGTAAATACAAATATTGTCAGGTTTCAGGACTAGATTTTGTCTGGAGATGTCACAGGGTATCAACTTTAGAATCAGAGGTAAATACACATATTGTCAGCTTTAGAACCAGAGGTAAATACACATAGTGTCAGGTTTCAGGACCAGAGTTTGTCTGAAGATGACCGGCTATCAGCTTTAGAACCAGAGGTAAATACACAAAGTGTCAGGTTTCAGGACCAGAGTTTGTCTGGAGATTACAGGGTATCAGCTTTAGAACCAGAGGTAAATACTGTAAATTCAGAAATTATTGCGAGGTTTTTATTAATGCGAATAATGCAACTGTATGAATATCGCAATAATAAGAACTCGCATTCTGATATCTTATTAATATAACTGCATGCACATTTTCCTTAAATCGCAATAATTAATCTCTATTTTAGTTTATTCTTCTAAATTCGCAATAATAAATGCACACAATAATTTCTGAATTTACAGTACACATAGTGTCAGGTTTCTGTACACTGAGATTGTATGCAAGTCTTACAATTGAGGAGTTTTTGTGAGAATATTAACAGTAAGGTCAAATATGATTAACATCACTACTGTATATGTTATTAAGGATTTTTTTAAGAGCTGACCGTAATGATACTTTAGTATTGCTTTTATTTACTAAATTTATTTGCAATCACTGACAGTTGATTCTTAAGGGAGATGTTGAAAGGCAATCTTAATTAAATAAAGACCTAAAGGAAATTAAATGAAGATTAGAACTAAAGTTATCATTCAAAGGAATTTATTTAAATATACCGGTACAGTATTGTGTTGCCTAACATTGAAGCTGTAGACTCTGTCGTCTTTGTCATATTGGCCTCATCACATGCTCTGTCTCTCCGCATCTCCTTGAAAAATTGCTGTTTAGAATTCCACCAAACTTGCACAGATTCTTCAAGAAGACATTTTAATTTTTTATCTGATTGAATTTTTGAGTTAACTATACCAAAACTCGGACTTCTCTCTTTCTGACTATCTTTGGTAAGCTTACTTGATAGCTGAACCATGAAATCATTATTAGCTAAGGTACTACCTTCCTTTGGGCAGAGTCCATTATTATATAGTTAAGAAGAGAACCAATCAAAAGTAAGGACAGTGCATAAACATTGTGAAACAAGTTTAGAAATATGTTTTCAATCTAAATTTAAGATATAGTGTCAGCTATAAGCTAATTCACAAGCATGTTGTAGGTGTGTTTGATTTGTCAATTTCATTTTAATCTAAACAATACAATACCATTTTTACAGTAGCATGGTGAGAGGAACATCTCAAAGATTTGACTTGACTAAGTTTATTTTACACCTTCTGTAGCACTCCCCCCAAACAAAATACATATCAAAATCAAAGATAATGATATCCTTACTATATATATATATAAACATATATAACTTATTATATATATTAACATGTATAATAAGGATATGAAAAGTTTTTTTTTTAAATCGATTTTATCATATTGTTATAAAGAATTACACATGTGAACAATCTAGTTATAAAAGAACAGAGGTAACTGATTGAAATAAAATTGACAAATCAAACACAACTACAAACCTGAAAACATATTTTTGAACTAACTTGTAGAACATGACTACCCATGAGGGGTCTCATACAGTCGTTTATCCTTCTTATAGGGGTAAACTTTGTAAAATTGGTTTCACAATATTTACATACTGTTCCTACTTTTGATTGGTTCCCTGCTTAACTATTGACTCCACCCAAAAGAATGTAGTACCTTAGCTAATAATGATTTCATGGTTCAGCTAGCAAGCACACTCAAGTCCATGCGCTGTAAAAATTTATATGATATTGTCATGTTGGGTGTCATACATTTTTCAAAGTAAATATGTATATTTCTTATTTTAACTTATTGTGATTTATTAACAAATGAAAACTTATCATCTCCTTTAGAAGCAAAAAAAAAACAAACCTCTGAAGATTTTCTTATTATTTAGAGAGACAGTTTAGAGAAAAAATTGGAAGAATGCAGAGAACAACTCTCAGAAATTAAATCAACATGGAGTGATAAAATATCCCATTTAGAGGAACAGGTATGGTGTAATAAAATTCTTATATAAATAAAATGTGTTTGATTATTAACCTTATTGTATGCAAGTATATCAAGCATGTTTATAGGAACAAAAGACACAAGAAAAAAATACATTTAAGGAAGAAACTACAGAATAAAACAATACAGATTTGATTATTAGACAAACATCTGATTCATGTCTTTGTATTTCCTCACTTGTCTAACTTTTATATTAGAGTGATATTGTGAACATTATTTTTGGATATTCTAAAATGATATTTTCCTTAAGAACATACAATACAGAAGAGATCTCACATTTATTTTCTATAAAATTTTGACACAAAGTCAATTTTGATATGCACTTTCTGAATATAAAGTAATATAAACTTCATGATTTACTTTTTGAGTTATTTCAGTTTGATAATGACATGTTTAAGGTTAAAAAAGATTCAACAACAGAAACAACAAAACTACACCAAGACATTTATGAAGTTACATAATTGAGAAAATAGATAAAGCATGACTTTTTTATTAGATTTCCCATCTAAATGCCAAAATGGTTGAAGATAGTGATGAACTTTCAAGAAGTGAGCAGAATGCAGAAAGTTCTAGAGAGAGTTATCAGTCACAAGTAAGAATACTTAATGATTTTTTTTTTTGTCAGTAACTTAATACTTTTTGTAAAATCAGTGAAAATATTATCCTGAATTGCATTTTAAGGCAATAACACGTAAATTTATAATGTTATCTATAGGTAAAAGATTCTAACCTGGACATCATTCATAAAATATAGAACAATATATCCTACTTTCTATAGATTTCAGAGAGGACAATTGGTTGTGCTATGTCACATACATACTGTGTATGTTGAAAACACTGTGTGTACAAAATTATCGTTATTGACATCGCCCAATATAAGACAGCAATGGTGAAATATTTAAAATTAGTGCTAGATACTCATGATCAGTGACCTTATACGGAATATACACAGTCAGTAAATTTGGATTCGAGCTATCACCCCATATAAAATTTACTGATTGTGTATAGACTGTATTAGGTCACTGACGGCATGTGTAATATATGATATTGTTTACTTTATTTATATTTAGTTATTATACTGACCAGTAATTGGATCCATACCATAAGTCAGATCATTTGATGTTGAGGCATCAACGTTTCCCAGCTATTTTTATCAGTATATAAATTCAACCCCTTCTTCAGGGTACAAGGGTCCTTAAACAGTCATAATTGCCAAACATAACCAAATCTGATAAGTTATTGACTGAAATGGTTTGGGATTTAGGTTTTTTTTTTTTTTTTTTTCAGAAACAATTGTCATTTCATTGAGATCAGGTTTTTTGTCTCCCCTTGACGGATTAGGTCAGTTTATGGGGAACCACTAGTGGTAGGTCAATGATATTTGGTATGCAGTTGTATAAGCATTGGCATATTTCATTTCCATGGAGATTATTTGGCCCCACCCCCTCAGTCATGCTCTATTGACTTTGAAACTTTTGCTTAGTTTTCATGTATTAGTTTGTGATTAGGCCAGTTTAAGATGAACCAATAATGTTAAGTCAATGATGTTTGGTATGCAAATGTATTGGCATTTGCAAGTTTCATTTCCATGGAGATTATTTAACCCCACCCCCTCATTATGGTTCATTGACTTAGAAACTTTTACTTAGTTTACAATTTAATGTTTGTGTTTAGGTTTGTTTAAAGGGAACGACTTATGAAAAATCAACGGTATTTGGTATGCAGTTGTATTAGCATTGGCACATCTCATTTCCATGGAGAATGTTTAGCCCTGTACCTTCAGTCATGATTCATTGACTTTGAATATATAACTTACATGTTAAAGTATTGCTATTTTAATTTCAAAATAACAAATAGGCGAGACATATCTCTGTGTTAACAGTTTATTTAATCACTATTTTGCACTAAGTTTTGTTTTGCAATTCTTTTTCGGCACTTCGATATAGTATGATAATCAGGAGAGCTGTCTTAAAAACCCTATCAATGCCGCCAGGAGATATTGGTTAATGGTAGCTAATCACCTCTTAACTGCATTTTCACACCTGACTGTAGTGATCAAGCTCAGAAGTAATATTATAAGGAAAATCTATTCAATGACAAAGTTACTTCATATACATGTATTGAAAGAGCATAAATAAAGTATTTTAGAAATTTCAAATAAGAAAAGTATGTCCTAGCCTTAAAACAGTTATTACTGAAATATAAAATTGGAAATTACCTGATATTCAGAATATCATCACATTTTAAGTTGTCTTATCATAGTATATTTATAAATTATAGCTAACTCAGTTACAAACAAAACTAGAGGATGCTGAACAAAGATGTGAAGAAAACTTGGATCTTCTCAACAAAAAAGAAAAACAGTTTGAGAAAGAGGTACACCTTTAGAATTGAAGATATTTAAAACATTAATCAATGTCCTGTCAAGTATTGGGGATCACTGTATATTAATAACTGCCTGTTCACTATATTTTAAGTTGCACAATACGTCAACCTTGCTTAATTGGTTTTTGCTTTTACAATTTTGCACAATTCATTGAATGGGGACAATAAACTCCCTTTGGCTTTTAAAATGTTCGTCTTGGTTGTCTATTGTTGATGTATTTGAATTGTGATTATTTTTTATATGTTTTAAGAATAAAGTTTGGCTGAATCTGTTTTCATAATTTTTTATAGATACATGTATAAAGATTGATGAAATAAATTATTCTTTCTGTTTTGACTCCTATTTGTGTCCATTTGGAACTTGTATGCTGTTTGAAGACTTAGGTTTTCCTTAACCTATTTTCATAAAAAATAACTTTATTTGTGAAATGTTTATTTTTAATCATAGTCTTAAACTTAAATTTTCCATGATAGTCTTTTTCATGTTGTACAAACTTTGAAGCTTCCTCTATGAACTACATTAAGATGAATGGTATCCGTTAACATTGCTCATAATATTTGTCATCTCTTTTTCAAAATTCTTCCTTTTGCTATTTTTATGTTTAAATGTAATACAAAATTTAAAAAGATGAGAAACTTTTTTGAAAGTTTCAATAAATTTGTATCATACATTTTTAAAAGTTTCACACATTGTCATTGACTAAAGAATATCTTTACAGTTAATTTTGTTATTTAATATTTGCCATTCATTAGTTATTGATTTATGTCTGTAAATTGTAATGTATTTATTTTTTAGAAACATGATTTGGAAACAGAACTGAATAAAGAACACTTTGAAAAGATGGATTTAGAAACTCAACTTGTGTCAAAAATTACCTCCCTTGAATCCCAATTAATGTCTGAAAAACAGTCAAAGGAACATGAAAAAATACTGCTAGAGCAAAAAATAGTAAGAAATAATCTTATGTCTGATAAATATTATAATTTTTTTCTGTTTTATGACATAATGAAGATTAATTCTATTCTGTTCAGACTGTGTCTGAAAAGTGACGTAACAGATCTAGATTGACTGTAAGTAAAATATCTGAACATTAATGAACTGTACAATGTAAAAAGTGTCTGAACAGTGACTTAACAGATCTAGATTGACTGTAAGTAAAATATCTGAACATTAATGAACTGTACAATGTAAAAAGTGTCTGAACAGTGACTTAACAGATCTAGATTGACTTTATGTAAAATATCTGAACATTAATGAACTGTACAATGTAAAAAGTGTCTGAAAAGTGACTTAACAGATCTAGATTGACTGTAAGTAAAATATCTGAACATTAATGAACTGTACAATGTAAAAAGTGTCTGAAAAGTGACTTAACAGATCTAGATTGACTGTAAGTAAAAATCTGAACATTAATGACCTGTTCAATGTAAAAAGAGTGTTTAAAACCATACAAAACTATGTTTGTTTATGTTCAAATATTTGAAGATAGTTTTGGATCTTAATGGCTGTTTTAGTCTAAATTCATTTAAAAGTGTATGATACTTTTGATAATTATCATACCTCTGGAGTGGGCACTTTATTGCATACGTTTTGTTCTTTGGTCTTTGCATCCATCTGTTCATTCAACAAATTTTTTGTCCCACTTTACTCAAGTACTAACTTCATATTTTGTATGCACAGTGATGAATTGTAATGTATGATCACTTTTTGGATCTGTCAGTAACCTTCATCCAGTTTTCAAATCCTTTGAATTAAGAGTGGAGGTTTACTAAGAGACAATAATAAAGTTTCTACAACTATAGCCAAACACTTTAGTGAAATATTTGTATCAATTAAAGAATTTTGTAAAGGTATGGAATAATTTGTAGTAAAAAAATCCTTAAACTGATTCTATTCATGTCATACACATATTGAAGAAAAAAAGGAAATGTCTGGTATTTGTCAATGAGACAGCAATCCAACAACTTAAAAAAAGACATCAAGGAGACATCATATTGTCTTCAACAATAGATAATTGTCTATATCATTGGCAAATCACCACCTGTTTAGACAAGTGAATGAATTTTAGAGAGACTACCAAAGATCTGCCATTAATATCAAATATTTTGACTTTCAAAAACACTAAGATAGAACTAAAGACAGCAACTGACAAGGTTCTTTACTTGGACAGGAATGCAACAGGGTTAAACTGGGGTTTTAGTAGTCATTCCTGTTTTATCTCAATCAGTATAATAACAAAATGTAGATATGGAATATACAGTAAAAAACTGTTCAGATTAAGCCCTTAACATTGTATTATTAGATATTACAGACAGCAATATCACATCAATATCACATACCTGTACATGTATAACGATAATGTATAATACTGTCTCAAACAACAGGTACAGAAATTAACTTCAAAATAAAAATTAAAATCGAGTGGTATGATTACCCATGATACAACTTTCCACCAGAGACTAAATGAAGTATGTGTTAACAACTATAGGTCACCCTACCAACTTCAACCATGAACAAAACCCAAGCAAGCTATAAAAAGCCCAAAATTACTAAATGTAAATTAATTCAAACGAGGAAACCAACAGCCTGATTTATGAACAAAACAACAAACGACAAGCAAATAATTACAGGCTCCTGACTTGAGACAGGAACATAAAGAATGTGGCAGGGTGAAACATGTTTTGTAGGCATCCAACTCTAACCTTATCTGTGATAGTGGTACAACAGCACAACATGAGAACAAACAACAAAAATCAGTTGACAATTACTTGACTCATCCGATCGATACAAAGCCCAAAAACAACTAACAAAAACAGAGCATTTATTCTGCTGATAAAGAAACCATGCCTTCTAAAACTTTAACATAGACTGCTGCACATCTGAGTAGATTTCATTCAATAGTACTGAAAAACATGATCTTGTCCAATGTCTGAAGTAAATTTGTGTTTAGAATTATGACACAGAAAAGAAAATAAGTAGATTATTTTAGTTGTGTTTCATACTGTAAACAACTGTAGTAGTTTTATATATTTAGATATAACTTCATGGCTTATGTCTTTGTTTCTATAGGAACATTTGGAAAAGCAAGAAAATGACTATCTGGAGAAAGCAACAAAGCTTGAAGAACAAGTTATGCAGTTAGAAAAAAACAGAGATGTACTGGAGGTCAGCATTTATTTATATAAGAATATTTTATGTACTTTGTATGTCATTTAGCATTTAATATAAAATCAGGTTGGATTTGAATAACTAAAACAGATAAATAGACATTAAGAAAAGCAGATATGGAATTCATATTTATAATACATCATCCCAATGATGCAAAACTAAAAAGACTAAATTGACATCTGGAGATAAACATAAGGTCTTTAACAATAGATAAACGTGTTTTAGATATGTCAAGCTCTAAATCATAAAGAGAATCAATAAATTGTGAAAGATTTTAAAGACTATCAAATATCTGCTGTCAACTCTAAAGGACTAAAAACATAACAATTTAACTAAAAATAAGTACTGACAAGATTCCATAAACTTGGTAAAATTCGATTTACTGTGAAAAACTTGTGAAAAGAATAAAAATTTATTATAATGTGTAGAGTTTTACCCCTTATCTCTTTTGGAACTCCTTATCACTTAATAAATAAATGTTTAAATGTACAATAATATAAATACTGTTCATAGCAGTATCCACAGGATATATATTTGTCATTTTGATATCAGCTTCATAGCACTACATGAGTATTACAGATTGGATAATGTGCTTCAATGAAACAACAAATTGCCAGAGAAACTTTCACAAAGGCAATATGAAAAAATCTTATCTCAATATAGACAAGAAAAATATTCAAGCAACAATCCACACTTATAACAGGCATGTTTTATTGATGGTCATTCCATATTTCCTTCAAGGTATCCTTGGGAGTCTCACTAATTAAACAGGTTACTGAATCATACTGTGGATGCATTATTATTTATTTGATGATTTTGTGGATAAAGTTTAAAAGTAAATTTAAGTGATCAACAAAATACAAATTTCTTATAGGTTTTTATGCAGAATTTGTCAAAACCACAAAATCAAGTATCATAAAAAATACCGCATTTTTCCTCAATCCATGAAAATTAAAAGATAGTGAATTTGCAGTACAAAATAAGTGGACATTATCTTTTATCAAAATACTAGATCTGATAACATTAAAGAAAATATTTCTGTTTTTTTATTCCTATACCCTGTATAATTTATACAATGGTAGTTAGTGGTGCAATTAGGTAGACAATTTTGCATATTTATATTTATATAATTTATATTTGTCACAGTTCCTCTTAATCTGAAACACTGCACAAATGTTGTGAGTTTCCAAAATACAAACTATATAATTATGCATAATTTTGATAATTAGTTATCTTTTACCTCAGAATGAAAAGTACAGTTTATCAAATGATGAATTAAAGTTAAAGAAGAAAGTATGTGAGATGGAGAATACAGAAACAGAATTGAGGAGTATGGTAAACATCTAGTGAAGCTTATCATATATATATATGTACGACTCCGAACCGAGGTGGTAGTAGAATAGCGATGGTAACACTGAAGTGCAATTGTTTGACGCTGAAGTGTGATAATGGCATTGTGAAGCTACTTTTTTGATAGTTGGACCAAAGTGCTTTGGTGGTAATGCTGAAGTCCGATGGATTACATCAACTATATTTTCAATGGTTTTCATTTTCACATGTTGATGTTGCCTAAGAAGTCAATTTGTTTTTAGAAGCAGTTTTTTTATGTTATTAAGTAAAGCATCGAGAGTATAACCTGTTTAAATTAAAACATCCATGATTAATAGACATTACATTTCCAGTCATAAGAGACTCCTGAGAGGAACAAAGTAAAGATAAACTGTTAATGCAGAATAATGTCTACATGCAGCAAAATTAAAGAGGATGATCTTTTATTTAGTATGAAACTGTAACTAAGGACATACATAATATGAGATATATTCCTGAATGTCAAATGTTGCAAACACAGTTTAAAATATACTGTAACAGGCTTATTGCAGGAGGATAATTCTTTTAATGATTCTTTTATTTCAACCATACACATACATATCATTGATAACAAAATGCCATAAATGTTTTATAGACAATAATGAATGCATATACTAACTAAACTAGACATCACACTTAAGCAGAAGGACCATCACACTTAAGCAGAAGGACCATCACACTTTGGCACAGACCATCACATTTCAGCTAGGAATGCACTACAGCTTTACCATTGCATTTCAGCATCCCCATCACACCTCCTAGTTCTACATATATATTGGCCTGCTTCTCAAACACCTAAGGATTAGTTGAATTCCCTCAATATTCAGAAATTAATAAATATTTTATAATTGGATTCTTTGGTGAGTTACCCAAAAATTGTTCTGTAATTTTAATAAAAAAAAAAAAAATATATTGATTAATGCAATTGTTATCCTGTTATATTTTGCAAATATATGAAAATTGTTATACTAACTTCAAATTCATATCGTCAATAAATAATGATTCATTCTGTTTTTATTAGATCTATCATCTAAATTACATATGGTCTTTTGCCATCTCTTGACATCCACCCTCTTATATAAGCACTTGGAAATATGGAAACAAATTACTATAAATGTTAAGAAATGTTTATTGGAAATTTGAAAAATTTGGTTCCAATAAAATAACAACAATGGTCACCATGGCAAAAAAAAAAGGCTAACATTTCAAAGAACTTAATTTTAGAGAATAGCTGAACCAGTTGAAATGAAAGAGGATAGAAAGGGTTCTTATGTGATAGTAACTGGGTGTTACTTTGTAACTGATTACCCAAACAATATGACTGCCAGATGCGTTTTTACATTGCATTATAAAGGAAGTATGAAGAAAATGTTCTTTTTGAGATCTGCTCAGAAAATTGAAACCAAATAACATTTAAAGGCTACTTTTTGTTTCAGTGTAACTGAAAGAGTATTTTATTTTGTTAGACTAGTTCATATGACTGCTTCTTGGAACTTCATTTTGAATTGAACAAGGGAAACAAACATGTAGAAAAATGTTTAGTTAAAGTTTCAGTTGTTTGATATTACTAATGTGTGGTATCTTTATAATTCTTCATCCATTCATGTAACAAAATGAGGATTTCACACATAACTTATGTGAAACAATGCTATGGTCTTGGGATAGTGGTCAATAATAGGATTTAGATTAGATTGAGGTTTCAAACATATTATTAACATGAAATTTCATACATGGATTCATTAATATTTATGGGATACCAACTTTCGTGGATTTCATGGGTATAGATAAACCACGAACTTATATGTTCAACCAAGTGCCAATTATCTATAGGATTGTATGCAGACGTGAACAAAACCACAAAATCAAATATCCATGAAAATGCAGTATTTCCTCAATTCACAATGCAAAAATTGGTACACGAAAATAAATTAATCCACAGTATATCTATAGGAAATATATGTTAGAAAGATAGTATGACTTTGATTTCAGGGTTTAGTGATCAGATTGATTGTTTACATTGAAGAAAGGTACTGGTGTACGTTCAAGATACAGGAATTACTGTTTTAATTGGACTAGCTGTGATAAAGTTTTGTTGTTTTTTTGCATGTTGCAAGTTTGTTGACAATGTGAATTAAAAATACATATGCATAAATACATATTTATATCTAACTTTTAAAGATAGAAGATTGTGAAATTTTTAGTTTTCAATTATATCATCAATTATTAGTTACTTGTTTTTAAAAAGCATTATATACAGTAAGTTTTAATTTTTTTTTTATCTAAGATTTCAGATCATGAGAATAAATTAACTCAGTCATCTAAGCAGATGGAAGAACTGGAACAGTTTCTAAAGAGCAAAGAATCTGAGCTTTGTGAATGCATTGCAGGTAATGACAGATATAAGAAAAATACATGTTATATCTTTAACTTTACAACAGAAAAGGGGGGATGCAATTTAAATTCTCATGAATAATGTGTTTACTTTGATGGTTATATATATATTAGGTCTAAAAGGTTTAGTTTTTATGTTGTGCACCTGCTCTTTGAAATGCATTGCGGGTTTTAAACACAGAAATATAAAATACTTTTTATAGATAAAACCATTACTACTTTGAAGTAAAGAGGGGATGGGGGCATTTTGAATTCTTTTAATAAAAGTGGTTTCCTTTGGTGGTAAAAATAGGTCCATTTTTTTCTTAAAGTTAATTATCTTACCTTTGATAAATTTTGGTTTTTATGTTGTATTCCTGAGCTATAATGATAAGTGCTAATTTCAATACTTGCCTTGCCTCGACAAAGTCGAGAAAGGGAGACATAGGCGTGCTCTTAACAGCAATGTCAACAAAGGCAACAATTTGCTTATTAGGTCAGTTTATGGGTAACCACTAACGGTTAGTTACTGATATTTAGTATGCAGTTGTATTCCCACTGACACATCTCAAAATCAGGAAGAATATATGGCTACACCCTCTCAGTCATGGTCTATTGACTTAGAAAAATTTGCATAGTTTTACATGTTAAATGTTTGTGATTAGGTCAGTTTAAGATGAACCATGTGAAATGAAATTTTGGACCATTAAAGGCAGAATAAGATTTTTCATTGTTTTCACTTTAATGTTCCATAGTTGTACTCGATTGTTTGGAAAATTCAAAATTCTTTGATTTTCAGATGATAAATAGAGAAAAGCTTTTCAGTGTTACAGCTAGGATTTCAAAAGGGCAGGGTGCCAATCATGAAAAAGGGCATTTAACGAAAAAGATGACCAAGGCACCCTACCAACCCTGCTACCAAGACCCTCTTTAACTTTTCCCATAACTCAAAACACATAAACATATAAATTCTAAAGCCAGAAGTATGAAGACATATTTTATAATATCTTAGTAGGTTACTCAATGCTAGGAAAAAATAAGATTGGGTTATCTTTCTTTATTTGGGTGTGCTCCTTCTTTGGAGGATAATAAACAGTACGTAGAAGATGTAAATACGATCAACAATATGGCGGCCGATTTTGTTATTTTCGTATAAAAAATGAAGGCAGTCAATGAAAAATACGTCTTAATTTGCTATTTATTTCACGGAAAACAATAAGAGCAATGTTTTTAACGAGTTGATTATGGTTTTCGACTTTCTGTCAATTACGTTTTTTCCATGAAACTACGGTAAACATTGCTAATTGTGCCCAAATTATATGAACATTTCTTCAAGTTCAAAGACAAATGCCGATTGACCGATTCTATTGGAATGAATTAATGTTGTTGATCATTAAATGACCCATCCGATAAACGGATTACCTATAACAACAGATTATGACACCTGTTGTAACCGTTGATTAGCTTGGGGTCGTAAACAAAGTCATATACTTGTCGCCACGTAAATTTTCGTAATTGGCAGATCATATCAATACGAACAAAATAATATACCAATAGATGTTCAAAAAAGGCAGGGCGCCCTGCAAACTGTAAAAAGGGCACAGGGCGGCACTCGGGGAAAGGGCGGGCGGGCCGCCCTGTGAAAACGACCTAGCTGGAACACTGCTTTTTGAAATTAGTTGAAATTTTAATGGAATATTTTGGACCACTAAAGGCAGGTTAAATTTTGATTTTCGTTGATTTTACTTTTACTGTTCCAGAGTTATGGTACTTGATTGTTGGAAAAATTCTAAATTTTGTGGTTTCCTAGTGATAAATAGAGAACCACATTTTGAAATTGATTGAAATTTTACTGGAATGTTTTGGACCTCTTAACAGCAAAATTAGTTGCTGTAGGCAAGGGTATCCTTGATCATTCTAGTTAAATATTTTTTTCAGAAAAAGATGAGTTGTTAGTGAGAAATGCTGAGTTATCACAGAAAAATTTGTCTGTTCAGAGCAGCTCAGATAGTATTATTAACCAGCTTAGATCAGAGATAAAAGACCAAGATGATCAATTAGATAATTTACAACAGTCACATGATTCATTGCAAGAGAATGTTGATTTCCATGAAAAAAAGGTGAGATTGAAGAATATTTAGTGTTAGATGTTATCAAGATAATTTAGTGATCTACCTTTAGTAAGTGTTTAAATAGAGAATATCATATGGCTTTTTCAATATCACATCTGTATCAACCTGAGACAACAATATAATCATGAGAGCTCTGCTCTAAGGATTATATTGGTTGGGGGTTGATACGGTGTGTGATATTGAAAAAGCCATATCATATACACTTTAATATATACATATACCTCACGTAGATGTTTTTTATGTGACATGACGTCATACAGATAAGGAGGTTTGAAATGACGTCATACAGATTATAGGTTTGACATGACGTCATACAGATTAGGGGTTTGATAAAGCCTTTGCAACAGTGACTGCAATAGATGACGTGACGCCATACAGATTAAAGGTGTGCTGATATCGATATCATCAGGGGTGGCTGATACAGCATGCTTGCCAATGTTTGTATTACACATACATTTATTTGTATTTACTACTAAGTATATAATAAATAGTTTTATAGCATCAGAGTCAGTTGAAAATCAATGTTAGTGGTTTTATATTAGGTTAAAAAAAATATGTTCTCCACAGAACTTTCTGGTCTTATGTATGTATCATAACAGTAACTATTATTTGATTTGCTGTGAATTATTGGTAATCATGTACACCTGATTATGATAAATATTATGTAATTCTCAAAAAATATGCACAGGTCTTCTTCATTTTAAAAGTGACAGTAGTTTCAAATTACACTTGCACAAAAAGATCAATACATTTTTTGTACTTACACAACACTGTTATCCTGAATTAAAGAAGAAATATTTTATTGGTTATAGAAAAGTATTTGAACAGAATCTACTGTTGTGACTAAATGCTGATTTTGGTTTTATTTTTAAATACATTTTATTTGACCCTGACTACCCTGATATAAAGGAAAATGAAATTATGCCCTCTGTATGTTGATGAATGAATGAAGGAACGAACGAACGAATGAACGAACGAACGAACAAAAGAAGGGAGGAACGAACGAACGAACGAATTAATTATGCCCTCTGTATGTTGATTAACAGTAACATGTTATGATTGAGATTGATGTTGTTGCATTAACATTATAAATCTGAATAATAGATAAAAGAGCTGGAAGATGGCAAAGAAGAGAATGACCAGACTTCTACACAAGTTAGTACTCTGGAGCAAACTGTCACAGATTTACAGGAACAGCTGGCAGACAAAAATAAGGTAAAATAATTCTCTTTAGAAAAAATGTTCCAGTATTTTACATCTTACCTGTGAATGGTAAAGAAAAGGGGTTAACCAATAAATGATTATATAAAGATTCAACATAATGAGTCTGGAAATTATTTTTGCATACTCAAAACTAATTTTCTATCAACCTATCTAGAATTGCAAGGTGCCAGTGCAATTATTTTTTTTGTATGCAATCTAATTGGATGTGATTTGCACTAAAAAGTTGTTTCAACAATTTTTAAATAAGTCATGTTGCTTTCATAATTAATTAAGAACTGAAAATACAGAAAAGATGGTCTGTTTTTGCTTTAATTAAAGAAAATAGGATTATAAATTTCATCTTTCTAGTGATCATTATTACCTGTTTAGTCTGTAGTAAATACACCACATCATAAGTGAAGCAACACATATTAAATCATGTATTTAGATTTAATGTGAAATGTATGTTGATGATAATAAGAATGATGATCATTTTCAGGAATTTATGTTTTTTATGGTTTTAGAAAACCAAGTCTTCAGCACTAAGTAAATTTTTTGGCATTTTGCTGTTCAGTTGAGCAGTGTCATAACAAGTGAAAGGGAGTTTTTAAAGCAATTGCTTTCATGCTATAGCGTATAGACATCTTTGTGACCCAGATCAGAGACTCTGCCCAGATCAAGCCAAAGTTTTTTTAGCAGATTCCTGGTCTGTCATTCTAAAACTCCTATGTATATTTTCTAATGCAATACATGAATTGAAACAGTTGAAAAACATATGTTCTTGTAAATGTATTTTAGTATTTAATTGGACAACCTTTTGACTGTCAAAGAACAAAGAAGTCTGAGTGAAAAAAAGTGCATTTTTATACTTGTAATTTCATTCTTGAGTATTTTAACAAAATATTGAATCATGTCAGTTGTTGATTTAATATTGAAAAAATTTACTGAATTATCTCTTATACAGTTTTATGTTGTTTAATTTGTGTTTCTTTTTGAAAGAGGTCAAGTTGCTCTTGTTCATTCATAAAATTATCGTAAAATCACTACGCACGTTATAGTAATGTAATCTTATCTCGCATTATTTGTTTTAAATTAAAAGTAGCACTGTTTACGCATTCCAATTACTCTTACCATGTTTTTAATACTTCCATGAAATAACGGGCCCTGTTATTTATTAAGGGTTTTGCTCTTGATACTGACAGACTCCACTCTGTAAACAAATGATATAATGACAGTGTCAAATGTCTTAATAACCCTAATGATTACCTGTACTATCTAAAAATAGACCATAACTGACCTTGTAATTATGTTTGGGGAACGAAACCTGTGTTAAAAACACATAACAATAAGTTTGTTTTCCTTTTTTGTCATGATTCCGTAAGATTTATCGACCATCTTATAGATGAAGTGGACCCGTCCAAACATGAGACACCAAGTTAAGAGTACAAGATATTCACAAACAATTTGGAATTTTTCTTGTTTCATAAATTGAAAAAAAAGTACGTCCATTTGGATATCAAAAACGGGAATGCATGACAAATGATGAAACAGATATCCTTGTCTTTCCAGTGGACGAGTCTACTTTGTTTTTGACAAGGATCTGGTAATGTCGACATGTTTGCAATTTTATTTCACATGTTTTCGAGCTTGAAGATCATTACTGACCATGTTTCCCGATAGTAGATAAAAAGCAACGTGGAGCTGTTTTTTTCTTTGTTCGTGAAATGATGATTTAATTTCACGTTTGTCTGTGATACCCCCTTTTTTGAAATTATATGACGATGGCACATATTGTATGTTTAAAACAACTGAGCAATAATTTTTGGGACTAAGATTTAAGAAATGATGACAAAGTAGCATTACAAAAATATTGTTAGTAAACTGAAATATATATTTATTTTTTACATGTTTATTTTTTAAAATTTTTGTACGCCCGTCAAAATTTTGACGGAACGTATTATGGTCTACAAATGTCGTCTGTCTGTCCGGCGTAAACATTTCGCACCGTAACTTGAGAACGACTTATCCAAATTTCATGAAACTTAACATAGTTGTTTCTTATGATGGTCAAACAATCTGTATACTTTTTGGTGAAAATAAGATTAAAACTTTTTGAGTTACGGGACTTAGTAATTAAAACAGGTGTGTGTTTTTTTTCACATGTCGCGCCGTATCTCAAAAACAATTTATGATTATTGCTTAAAACTTTACACACTTCTTAGTTATATTAATCATTAGATCTGTATACTTTTTGGTGATGATTCAAAATTTTATTTTTGAGTTATTGAGTATTTTGTAAAAAAAGGGGGAGGGGTTTTTCACATGTTGCGCCGTATCTCAAAAACAATTTATGATTATTGCTTAAAATTTTACACACTTCTTAGTTATATTAATCTAAAGATCTGTATACTTTTTGGTTTTGATTCGAAATTTTATTTTAGAGATATTGAGTTTTTTGTAAAAAAAAAAGGGGGGGTTTTCGCATGTCGCGCCGTATGTCAGAAACTATTTATGATTATTGCATAAAAATTCACACACAAGACGACTGGCATATCATGCGCTCATGGCGCAGCTGTTTATTCTTTTTTTCCTAACGACTGACCGGACTTTTTCATGTGAAAAATCTGTAAACCAACAAATTAAAAAAACTTGGGCCTTAGTGATGAAAGGGATAAAGCATTAATTAAACTTAAAGCAATAAAGTTAATGAAGCCTGGAAGGTGCATGGATTGTCATGTAAATTATCGCCCAGTAATATTAAACTCTCTAAAAGGGGATAATCAATTATGATTTCTTGGTGAGTTATATGTTTCCGCACTGTTAGCCTGGTAAACATGTTGTCCCCCCTGGGAAATGTAAAACATTGTAAAAATGACTTTCTGTTGGATAAGTCTGTTATTGATATAAAGTTAAAACATCCTTATTTCTCACTAGACAAGACTCCTGTCAGGTTTAAATCTTTTACATGTGGATGAAAAATAAAAGTCACAAAAACATTAACTTGACAGCAATTGCTTAAACAGCCTTTAAGGCTTTACTGCCATAGTAAAGCTGATAAATTCCCTCTTTTTTGTAAACATGGGAAAACAATATTATCTGAAAAAAAAAATCATCAATGAATGTTTTCCACACATTTTCTCTTCTTAATTGCCTTATTACTTTAACAGAGTGAAGTTTAATGGCTTTATTCAGCTTTTAAGTACAAAATGTGAAAACTTAAAATCTTTTTTTATGTATCACTAATAGACAAACAAAGTCATCTATATGAACCATTATTTTAATATGGATGCAATTTCAGATACAGTAATTATTTTAACTGCAATAAACACCAATACAATTGCTATCCATCATGTCCAAAATCAGCATAATTTGCATTTTCAGAATAAAAAAAAAAAGATTGAAAAAAAATGTTTCATGTACTCACAAAGTGACCTTTACTGCCTTCAGTTAGAAACAGTACTATAATTTGTGACTGTTGTATCATCTTGCACCATACAACTTTCTCTTACACAAGAAAGTATGACAATTCAAAAGTTATTAATACTTACTTTGCTGAAAATTTTATTTTGAAAAATGCATATGATCAAATTTTTATAAATTCTGTTTAAAGAAGGTAATTATACAATTTAAAAACAGAATAACTTTAGATGTTCATAAAAATGGAAACATAATTCTGATGATTCACAAAGAAAGGAATTGGAAAATGACACAAAATTTGAATATTAAAAAAGTGTCAGTAAACAGAAATTAAGTAAAACATTCTATCAAAATTGAAAAGAAAATAAAAGTTGCTATAATTATATACTTTCTTCAGCAAATGTCTAAAATCTTGAAATTATTTTGTTGAAAAGTAAAAATACTGTTTTTAAAGCCTTTAGAAATAGAAATAAAGGTTTTATCAATATGTATTATTGCAGTTTTAATTGGATTATGTATAAAGTAATTTGATTTAATTTTTTTGCTCATCAGGCTTTGAAAAAACAGGAACAAAGACTTAGAGATCTTCAAAAAACTTTACAGCGTGAACTTAGAGTTCAACCTCTCCCCAGTGATGAACCAGTTGTTATTGATGGTGCTTCATTTACTCCACCAATGCAGCGGAAAATTAGTGAAAGTCGGAATTCCCCATCCAGAGACAATATTGATTTTAAGGATCATAATCCTGCAACCATTAGTCATGTGATGAAGCCATTTGACACAAACAATCATTCAGACAATACTTTAGATGTTCATAAAAATCGGACACGCAATTCAGATCATTTACTGAGAAAGGACTTAGAAAATGATGTGAACTTTAAATATTTGAAACATGTGGTTTTAAAATTTATGTTAAGTAGAGAAGCCGAGGTTAGTAGTTTATTTGTTTATTTATATTATACTTAATGATCAATTAGAAAGACTTTTTAAGGCAGCAAATTGTAACAAATCTGAGGGAGCATTATGTTGTCATGGATTCATTCATTTCTTGTCTCAATACCAATGTGACAACTCTCCACCAGAGACCAAGTGACATAGAAGTTAACAACTATAAGTCTTTTACTGCCTTTAACAATGAGCAAAAGCAATCTTAATAAAGCCATGAAATGACAAATGTAAAACAATTCAAACGAGAAAACTGATAGCATGATTTATGTACAAAACAATAAATGAAAAACAAATATGATATACAGCAACAAAGGACAACCACTGAATTACAGGCACTTGACATTAATATTTGGAATACAAGTGTATGTCAACAACAACAACATGTAAATTCAGATATCTAATGTCAGTACATTGTTAAGTTATCAGATATGTTGTCAACTTTGTCAATCAACTACCTACAATTGTGCCTTATTTGTATTTTATTTTATTTTTATAATCCAGGCAGTGCATTTAATACGAGCTATATCAGTGTTACTACATTTCTCACCAGATGAACAAAAGATGTTACATGATACATTAGAATACAGAATGTCATGGTTTGGAATTCGACCAGCACTAGGCTCAGGACAGAAATCAAAATACATTCCGCCACCATTTTAATGTTGTGATTTATAAGAGAGTATATATGTCAAATGATTAATGCCATTTGATTTTCATCAGAATATTTTCTCCTGATTTGGCACCACCAGAGAAATTACACTGCATTTTGTAAGAATTACATCACAATGAGTTTATATATAGGTATAATAAAAATTCAAAGTATCTCCAAACAGAAAGTGACTGCTGGCAAATATTTCAGTGGTTCTTGAGAAAGAGATACAAATTTGAAATGTTTCTGGAATGCACAATGCTTGCAATAGCTCACATTGCGAAGCATATAACATAACATCTAGAATGTGTGCAGCTATCTCCATTGTTGCAATTTTTATGTTGTGGAAAACGAGATCCTCCTAATGGATGTTTCAGAATAGAACAATGGACCAGAATTTTGTTCCAGAACATAAATATGAGTAGCAAAGCTTTACCAATATTATATTTCAATGGATTTCCTTTGAAAATAAAGGACATGTTGTATTAATTCATGACACAAAATCCCTTCATGCACTTTTCAAAACCAAAAGCAAAGAAAAAGTGTTTTTCTTGCTGTTTTTCATCTCTAAGTTACCGTACAGTGTAAGGCCATAGGTATTCGCCACGTGTAATTTTTCACTATATATTTTATATAAATTTGTGTTTTTCAAAAAAATATTATGGAGTCATTTCTGGTTAGATTTTAATCAATTTGGTACCAATAGATGCAGAATTGTATCAAGTTTAATTGGTGTATTTTTGTTATGGGGCGTTTTCATTTTCTAAACTCAAGCATTATTTTTGTTCAGAAATTTGATATTTTACGATAACGATACATATAAAACCCTGACAATCTGTTTATTGTTATATTACTGTTCTTTTCCACCTCCTTTAGACAGTTTTATGGGTAAGGTCTCCTGACACATAAAGATGTTGCTGATTAATTTATCTCAGACATTGTGATGTCGCTGATAATGTTTGCTCACATCTCAAAGCAGTGATACGAGAATTACGGAGCAACTGAGTAGGGTGATATGGTAAAGATAAGGACGATAAATGCATTTATTTCGCAAATGAAATATTCAATTAAATCTATTTTTCTTCATATCATAAATTAAACTCCTTCAATAATTTTCTGTTATGGAAATAAAATAAAATAAAAACTTGACACTTGCTCAATTAAGGACTCATTCATTTTATCATACATATTGCCTTATCTTCAGATTTGCTTATTGTTAATGATACCAGTTAATATTGTTCATTTGTTTTTCTGAAACAAAATTTTTACAAATAACTCATTTTCTGTATGCAAGAATGATTTGAATTTTGGTCAAGAAGTTTGTAACGTATGTTATATCTTGTAAGGGATTTTCAGATATGCCTCCCTGTTTGACAATACTTTGAACTTTTATCATACCCACTGAGCATGGAATTTTAATATTATTTCCTTTACTTATCAAAGAGGTTCATTATGGTTATTTTTTCAAACTGTTTTTATATTGGTATGACGTTGGCGTCGTTGTCGTTCGGCGTCGTCGTTGTCGTCCGAAGAAACATTGGTTTTCGCACTCTAACTTTAGTTTAAGTAAATAGATCTCTTTGAAATTTTACCATAAGGTTCAATACCACAAAAGGAAGGTGGGGATTGATTTTGGGGGTTATGGTACCAACAGTTTTGGAATTAGGGGCCAAAAAGGTGCCAAAAATAAGCATTTTCTAGTTTCCAGACAATAACTGTGGAACGGTGTATGGATCTCTCTGAAATTATACTACAAGTTTCCATACCACAAAGGGTAGGTTAGGATTTGCTTTGGGGGGTTATGACTCAAATCGTTTAGGAATTAGGGGCAAAAAAGGGGGAAAAACAAGGTTGTCCTGGTTAATGGACAAATACTTTTGTACATTTTGTACAAAACATAATTTAAAGCAGTGTAAGGGAGATAAATCAAATACATCATTGAAATTATCTCCCTTACACTGCTTTTAGATTATGTATAAAGTAATGGTTAATGAACAATTAAGATAATTTAAAACAGTGTAAGGGAGGTTATCCAAATACAACGTTTTGGTTACTTCCCTTACACTGCTTTTAAATTATGTTTAAAGAAATGCATATTTATAAAGGAAGAGCAGTAAAAATATCTGCAAATGTTGCATCTTTTTTTTTTACAAAAAAATCCATATGAAAGATTTGACACTATATTTTAAATTCTATTATAAAATAGATTAAGTTAGCACTATGGTAAATTTAAATGGGTAATTATGGTTGCAAACTCCATTGGAAATTTGAATTGAGATTATGACCATATCTTGAGGGAAAGAATTTTTTGGGGGGAAAAAAGGGGGGGGGGGGGGTAAAACGAAATTGTGGGGGGTCTTTTTTTTCTCATTTCAGATTTCAGAAATTAAAAAAAATTATTCTTCAAATATTATTTTTTTTTCAAATTTCAAATATTGAAAAATTTCAAGAAGTAATCTTTAATTGCACAGTATGGCGCATTAGATTTGTAAAATCTTTGACCACATTTATTTATTTGTTATGCCGAATCTAACCGTGTATTTAGATTTTTAATTTTGGGTCCAGTTTTCAAATTGGTCTACATTAAGGTCCAAAGGGTCCAAAATTAAACTTTTTTTGATTTTAACAAAAATTGAATATATGGGGTTCTTTGATATGCTGAATCTAAACATGTATTTAGATTTTTGATTTTTGGCCCAGTTTTCAAGTTGGTCCAAATTGGGGTCCAAAATTAAACTTTGTTTGATTTCAACAAATATTGAATATATGGGGTTCTTTGATATGCTGAATCTAACCATGTATTTAGATTTTTTATTTGTGGACCCCGCTATCAAATTGGTTCATATTGAGGTCAAAAGGGTCCAAAATTAGACTTCGTTTGATTTCATCAAAAATTGAATTATTGGGGTTCTTTGATATGCCAAATCTAACCATGTATTTAGATTTTTAATTTTGGGTCCTGTTTTTTAAATTGGTCTACATTAAGGTCCAAAGGGTCCAAAATTAAACTTAGTTTGATTTTAACAAAAATTGAATTCTTGGGGTTCTTTGATATGCTGAATCTAAACATGTATTTAGATTTTAGATTTTTGGCCCAGTTTTCAAGTTGGTCCAAATTGGGGTCCAAAATTAAACTTTGTTTGATTTCAACAAAAATTGAATATATGGGGTTCTTTGATATGCTGAATCTAACCATGTATTTAGATTTTTTATTTGTGGGCCCGCTATCAAATTGGTTCATATTGAGGTCAAAAGGGTCCAAAATTAAACTTTGTTTGATTTCTTAAAAAATTGAATTATTGGGGTTCTTTGATATTCCAAATCTAACCGTGTTTTTAGATTTTTAATTTTGGGTCCCGTTTTTTAAATTGGTCTACATTAAGGTCCAAAGGGTCCAAAATTAAACTTAGTTTGATTTTAACAAAAATTGAATTCTTGGGGTTCTTTGATATGCTGAATCTAAACATGTGTTTAGATTTTTGATTATGGGCCCAGTTTTCAAGTTGGTCCAAGTTGGGGTCCAAAATTAATTTTTTTTTATTTCAACAAACATTGAATATATGGGGTTCTTTGATATGCTGAATCTATCCATGTATTAAGATTTTTTATTTGTGGGCCCCGCTATCAAATTGGTTCATATTGAGGTCAAAAGGGTCCAAAATTAAACTTAGTTTGATTTCATCAAAAATTGAATTATTGTGGTTCTTTGATATTTCAAATCTAACCGTGTATTTAGATTTTTAATTTTGGGTCCCGTTTTTTAAATTGGTCTACATTAAGGTCCAAAGGGTCCAAAATTAAACTTAGTTTGATTTTAACAAAAATTGAATTCTTGGGGTTCTTTGATATGCTGAATCTAAACATGTGTTTAGATTTTTTATTATGGGCCCAGTTTTCAAGTTGGTCCAAGTTGGGGTCCAAAATTAAACTTTGTTTGATTTCAACAAACATTGAATATATGGGGTTCTTTGATATGCTGAATCTAACCATGTATTTTGATTTTGGACATTGGACCATAATAGGTAAATTAAAAATATTCAAGTTCTTAGACCACATTCTTTCTGTGTCAGAAACCTATGCTGTGTCAAATATTTAATCACAATCCAAATTCAGAGCTGTATCAAGCTTGAATGTTGTGTCCATACTTGCCCCAACTGTTCAGGGTTCGACCTCTGTGGTCGTATCAAGCTGCGCCCAGCGAAGCATTTTATTAATTCATTTGACAAAAAAAAAGAAATGTTTTTATTAAGATTCTCTATGAAATTTCTAATATCTTCTGATTAATGTGTACTATGTCATCACTTTATGAATTAATACACTTTTGATGTTGAAGCAAGCCATCCTGTTTATTTGGTTTTGTATAAATTTTGGTAGCTAACTGCAAACTTTAATGTTGAAGTATTATGCTTGCTGTAGAAAAAGAGGCTTGTCTTGTTTGATAAAATCTTTGGGTCTGCACAGGTCAAAATGAGGAATAACATGGCATCCCCAGTGACTTCATTCCAAGCATTTTATTTTCATGGTTTGAGAATAGAAAATATCTTTTCATCAATTCAGGTGCAAACCAATGAAATTTATATGATTTGTCAAATGATGAATATTTTGAGTGACAATGATAACAAAAGGTTTTACTATGTTTTTAGTTGCAATAAATTATTTAAGATATTAAGTACAAAATACATATGCACAATACATACAGTTGGTTGATGATACATTATTTGTTTCTGTTGGCTAATAAATATGATTTCCTATCATATGAAAGCATAATACCTTTGTTATGGATATTTGTCCCATTTGCAATCGTACCAGATCTCCTTATTTTGATATTAATGAATGAAGTTTTTTATGCCCCCGCCGAAGAGGAAGGGGCATTAAGTTTTACCCTTGTCCGTCTGTCCGTACATATGTCCCAAAATTGGTTTCCCTTCTTTAACTTAAGTTTGCCTCAACCAAATGTTATCAAACTTATACACAATGCTTATTACAACAATACACAGATCAAGTTTGAATTTTGGTGGCGTCACTTTAACCGTTCTAGAGTTATGCCCCTTTACAAATGAAAAAATTGCTAAATTTTTCATTTTTTTTCTAAAAATATCAATGATGTCATTGTTCAAGTAATTTTTAAAATTGGAGTTATCTTCCTTTGTCCATGATTATAGTTGAATCAACTACAACTAATGCTTAATACAATGCAATTTTTAATTTTGCCTTCCACTGATAAAACACAGATCAAGTTGAATTAGGGTAGTGTCACTTTAACCATTATTGAGTTATGCCCCTTTATAAATCTAAAAATTGCAAAATTTTTAGTTTCCATTCTGTTACTGCCCCAACCAAACATGAAACCTATACACAATACTTATTTACAAAACTAAGATCAAGTACAAATTTGGGTAGCGTCACTTTTATTGTTCTTGAGTTATGTCCCTATATAATGTTGTATGCAAGCGGGGGCATCATCTGTGTCCATGGGGACACATTCTCCATTTTTTGCACAAGGATTTTTGTCTGGTCTGTGTTGAAAGTCACAGAATGCTAGACATAGGCATTCTAATCCAGTAGCAATGACATTAAAATTTCTTATAAAGCTTAATATTTCAAAAGGTAGAGAACCTGAATGCTTCACACCTTGTATACAGATGCCTCAAGTAATGAAGTTTCTGTTTGTCATATGTTCATTGTCCTTGACTTCATGTTCATGGTTGAGCAACTGCATAGTGTTTATGTCAAGTGAATTTCTTACTTGAGTAAAAAGGATAACTTTACTATATTTGGTAAATGGGATTCTTGCATGGTCTACTTGTCCATCAAATATGTAAAAATAAGGAGATGTGGTATGATTGCCAATGAGACAACTATCCACCGAGTTCAAATTAAGTGGATATAAGTAATTAAAGGCAACAGTACGGCCTTGTGGTTCCCCTGATCTTGACCTCAATTCATGGATCAGTGATCAAGGTTAAAATTTCCTGATCAAGTCAATATCTCAGAAACTATTAGACATATGTCAACTATGGTGTATAGATTGATTAGGAAGAGTTTATGCCTGTTTTGCAGGTTTCATCTGGGTTTGACTTCTTCTACATCGTTCATTGTTTATTGTTACAATTTTGTGGATTAAGTCCATTCCTCAAATACCCTAAGCAATACATCATCAATATTTGGAGTATGCATGTCTGTCTGGTAGGTTTCATCTAACTCTGTGGTTCCATGGTTCATTGGTCAGTGTTAAGTTTTCATGGTAAGTCAGGATTCTCAGAAACTTTTAGCATTAGGTGTACGAAATGATTGTATGGTGTACATGTTTGTCTTCAGACCTTGACCTCATTTTTATGGTTCATTGCACAATGTTAAGTTTTCTTTGTTGGGTCTGTTTCTTGGATATTATTAGCTATAGGTTAACTATATATGTTTTAATGGATGATTGTATGGTGTACATGTCTGTCTAGCAGAGTTCATCTGACCTTCACCTCATTTTCATGGTTCATTGGTCAACATTTAATCTTTTGTCTACATCTGTTTCTCAGATACTATCAGCAAAAAGTTAACTATTTTTGGTAAATAAAATGTGAGGTGTACATATCTGTCTGGCTGGTTTTCTTCTGACCTTGACCTCATTTACATGGATCACTGATAAGCTTATGTGATAGTTATAGTATGAACTTTTGACTAAAAAGACTTTCACAATAAATTAAAGGGGTCTTTGTGGCCAAGTGGTCTAAGTATTTGATCAAAAGTAATCACTAGCCTGTTAACACTGAGGTGAAACATTTCAGTGTGTGCACTCTTTAATATTTTTGAACATAAACCTGCTAAACCCTTTCTGAGATGGTCATTGATTTACATTTAATACTTTAGTATTGATGTTGACAATTGTATCATAAAATTTATAGTGCATGACTATAAAGTCAGTTTTATCTCAAAATTTTGTCTTTAACTGACTTTTAAGAATTTTATTTACATGTATTTGACAAGTACATATTCCTAAAGTGAACACCAATGGCATCTAACAGTACAGAATAGAGCAACAAGAATAATAATCTAGTCTTTAATTATAGTTGATATAAAACATGCTGTTTTGGTTATGAATGTATGTACACATATACTCTCAATAATAACAATGGCTGTGAATCTTTTACCATATATTGTTATTGCTTATTTACATAAATGTATGAATATCATGTGTTTTGATTATTGAATATACAAGATAAAAATAAGAAGAAGTGGTATGATTGCCAATGAGACTTTTAACTTTTCGTCAGAGACCAAATGGTAGGTCTTGGTATGACCTTCAACAATGAGCAAAACCCATACTGCTGTATGACTGTTCAAGAGGCAGTTCAAAGGAATATATCTGCCAAGTTTGATTTCAATTGGGTACCAAGTTCTTAAGAAATTTTGACAAACTTTTTTCTGCCCTTTTAAGCTGTATTGGTTTTTATAACCTTCTGGAAAATTTTCCTAATCTTCATTGTTCGTAAGGAGAAGTTGATGGGGAAGTTTGATGTTGAATTGCCACAAAGTACAGTAAATTGATTTTTGTTTGCTTGATGTTGAAATCCAAGATGTCAATTATTTATAGGATGATAAAAACAACAAAGGCTGCAGTTCAAATAGTGAACAACATTTTTAAATTTGTGTTTGAAGCTCAGTATTTTTTACATCTGGACAAGTCTGTTCATATTCTGTCATAATAAAATCTTTGGTCAAATCAGTTATTGTCAGGTGAACTTTACTATTTACTATTGGGACATTTTAGGAATATCAATTGATTGCCGGTATCATTGCCAGAAACAAATAGATTTGCATGGTATATGATTTATAGGAGATATGTAGGGTATACCTCAATATGAAAGCAACAGTACTTATTCAATTATCTACTTCATGTTTACCACATACATGTATGTTCTTGACCTTGATGCACATAGAAGAATTTTTCTCAGCCAAGAGAAAGCTTCTCCATTTTAGGTATCACTTCATATTATTAGGTTGCCACTGGACATTAAGCAAGCAACACTCAATCATTCAATCATATTGTTAAGCTATACAGTGTGACACATTTTAAGATCTTCATGTTCTTTATATTGATGCACATAAAAATATTAGAAAGTGTTGTGGCATGTTTCTCAGCTAATGTCAAATTTCATATTGTTAAGTTATACAGTGGGACACATTTTAAGATCTGTCACTTTATCTACTTCCTTTTTGCCAGATACCTTAAAAATCCATGGTCTGTCTCCAATGGAAGTATAGGGATAAATTTCTAAAACTACATTGTTTGAAGTGAAATGTTCTATATCAATAAAAAGGGATGCTTTATTTATCTAAGTTGCTTGTCTATTAAAAAAGAACAATCGAAAAGAGTTACTCTTCATGTATGTAAATTTTTATCACTATTACCAAATCGGAGATACATCATTACAAGATTCACACAACGATATATTATAAATGCTAAATGGAATATAAAAACACTCATTATCTTACTTAACATGCCATGGTGAGTACCACATTTACAGAAGATTCCATGCAGGATAGTATGATCACCTTTCTACACATACCATGGTGAGTACCACATTTACAGAGGATTCAATGCAGGATATGATCACCTTAGATAATATTCCATGGTGAGTTCCACATTTGCAGTAAAGTCAACACAGGAAATGATCACCTATACCATGGTGAGAACAACATTTGCAGTGAATTCAATGCAGGATATGATCACCCTACTCAATATACCATGGTGAGTACCAAATTTGCAGTGAATTCAATGCAAGATAGTATGATCAACTAACTAAATATACCATGGTGAGTATCACATATTCAGAGGATTCAATGCAGGATATGATTACCTTACTTAATATACCATGTTAAGAATCACATATTCAGAAAGTTCAGATCACCTTACTGAATATACCATGTACACATACACAGAGGATTCAATACAGAATATGATCACCTTACTTAATGTACAATGTTAAGAACCACGTAAACAGGATTTAATGTAGGATAGCATGATCAACTTACATGAGAGATCAGTCATGTGCTCCCTATAATAAATAAAAGACAAAAATCTTGTAAAGCAATAAATTTATTCTGAAAAGTGTTTAAATTAATATATGTTAAATGATCATGTAACATCATGTTACATTAATATGAAATTTTCAACAACTAATAATTTAAATACTTAAAATACTTTTAATTGAGTACTAGTAATCTCCATTTAGGACTTAATTATTTTCATGAAAAATTGCATTGATCCAAGGACTTTTTCTTAAGGTTATATACACCTTAGTATATGGATGTAAATAAAAATGTAAAAATACACATCCAAAATGAGTCCATGACTAAAAAATACTCACAATACACATGATTGAGGTAAATAAATATAACAAGTAATTATGTGTCCATAGGACACCATGCCCTGCCCATACTATCCAATTCCATTTTCAGTGAACAGTAAAAACTAGGTCAAAACTAAAATTTGGCTTATATTTTTAATAGTTCATATCATAATGAACATATGAACATGCTCAAGTGAACATGTGTACATGTACTATGTTTTAAGTTGAGATAAACCAATACTTTAACCTGATACTATTGTAGGTGGGACATAACAATGAACAATATTAAGTAAATATAAAATTTATGCAAAATGAGATGTTTAAAAAAAGTTCCTTAAAAAAGAGATACATGTTGAACACTAGTCACATTGCATAAAAGAGATTAGAGGTATATATGTATGCATGATTTACTGTGATCATACATCATCCATCTGATCTATTGACTTCCATTAGATCAACATGCTTTACATCTATGTATACTAGGTCATCTATCTTCAAGATACAAGAAACAACAGATAAATTTCATGGATGTATTGATCAACACATTCAAGGTGACATGTAATTGATTGATTTTGGGATTTAATTTAACTTTCAGCACTATTGGCTATAATGTGGCAACCAGTTTTAATTGGTGGCAGAGGCCTAAGTTCCCAAAGAGAACCACTGATCTTTGTCAGGAAAACTGACAATCATAGTCAATTAAGATTGAAGTCAAATACACCTGCCATCTGGGGAATTTGAACTCACAACTTCAGTGTTGACAGGCTATTGATACTGTAGATTAACTACTATGACCATTTGGCCACCGAGGCCCCATTAATGATCGATATATAAATGTTATCTATTCCAAAGATTATGAATATAAATAATATTGTCTTGTAAAGTTTGTTAAGTATATATTTTGATTATAAAATACATACACTGCTCAATCTATACCAATACATTATTATAGTATTTAAACATTGCTTTAGTAATTACCTGAATTAAACCCACTGATTGATTGTTGGTATTTATAAAAATCATTTGGTTTGATTCTCTGTTGAACTGTAACATAATGATAAATGCAGTTTTCTGTTTAACTGTAAAATAATGATCAACACAATTATCTAAAACATTATATAAATTTCCTAATTGTATAAATTTAGAAATTCCAACCACCAACATTAACAAGTTTTATCAGTCAGTTATTTGGATTTATAAAATATGCAACAATTTTCATGCTATCTTTAACAAATCATCACTCATGTTACCTCTTTGACTCATTAGTTTTTTTTTCGCTTGGTATCTGCTGTCTTTTTTTAAGTAACATCAGGAACTACTATAAGAAGTTTTTTTTAGTGTTATTGGCCAAGAATATCTTCTGTTGTTTTTTAAGTACCAAATATCTAATAAATACAATTGTCTGGCTTGTCCAAAATAGTCCATATAGCTGTTTGCTGAAGAAAATTGCTGAACAAATCTACTGACAAAAATGGCCAATATCAAAAATACAGAAATGATAAAAATAATACTGTTGGACAAAGGCAAATTGATAAAAAGCTTTTGAAATAAAAAGGGAACAGGTTTTCTTCATGATTGCTTTGTAAACTTATAATTCATCTGAGGTATAAACAATTGAGGTATAAAAATTACAAATATTATGTACAATGATGACTAACTGAGGATGTATTCCGTGCATTGAATAACAAGTCACTGTCAAAGAAAATGTTTTTGATGCACAAAATTGTTAGTACCGGTAATGTCAAGGTTTTAAGCTGACACGTTATTTTGATCGATTATTGTGTCAATATGAAACTGCAGTATCATGATGTGCTGAAAAATTTGCATAGCATGTATGAATCAAATATATTTAATTGAGAACTATACTTTCTGTGGATTATGTTCTTCTCAATTACGGAACAGTTATTAATTATACTGTAAATATATTTTGCATGCATTTATTATTGCAATTTTGAAAAATGGACAAAAATGTGTGATTGATTTTTGTGATTTTAATAAATGCTGCAAACAAATAATGCTATCATAATTTAATATAATGTAGCTTTTATGTTTAGTTGACCAATCCTGTTGCAATTTCTGCAAAAATAAAAACTTTATAATTTTTTTTCATTTACAGCAGTCACAAGAAAACAATGAGGTAACGGGCATTAATTAGTACTAGTAGGTGCATTTATTCATGGGAAGGTAAAACATGGCTTTTAAAACTATATGAAATAAAATTATGAAAAGAAAAGTAGGGGTTAGTGGACAAAATTATTTAATGGCAAAACATTGATAAAACCAGAGGATTCCGAAAATCTGGCAAAAATTCAAAAACAAGAGGAGCGAACATCCTTAAAGAATCTTTTAACATTCTTGTTTAAATCATTCACATGCAGACTTCATGTTCTTGATAATCTTCAAAAAATGCTTTCTTTTTGTTTAAAAAGTCATCAAAAATATTTATATTTTCCATGTCAAGAAACTACGAACAGTGAAGGTTACCTAGACATTACAAATATAAGCCAAAGAAATGACAAGTAGATGACAAATGTCACATGAGGATCATATATCAATGATTACTTTTGCTGTTTATATAGTTTCTATCTATAAAAGTATTCATGATATTATTTCTCACAAATTTCTTAGCAATGGTCTGTGACAGGTTTTTTTTCCCCCTTCATTTTATGTTGTATGGCAGTCTTGTTCTTTGTTTGACAGGAACATTTAGACAAATTTTGAAATAGATACCGTAAACCATTATGACCAAGTTTGGCTCTGATATGCACAGTCATTTCAGAAGAGGAGATTTAAAACAAAGTTAACACACTGTCAGACAATGGATGGTGGACAAGTGATAATAAGTGATTCCGATAGGTCACAGATGACTTAAAATGAAAACATTCATTATTTTTATAGCACAATTAATACTGTTCAAACTAAATAAATAACAGATTAATAATTGTATTATAAAAATGAGTTATTTGTGATTAAAATAGCATAAGACAAGAATCTGTGTCCATGGACACCATGCCGCCCTTAGACTATATTTCTATGTTTAGTGAACAATGAAATTGAGGTCAATACCCTAATTTGGCATGTAGTTTGAACAGTTCACTTCATAATGAATATGTGTAGTGTGTTTCAAGTTGATGTGACCACAACTTGACAGTAAACAACCTTAACCAAAAACTTAAACCTGAGAATGGCATGATTTCACAATATAATATTTCCATGTTCAGTGAATCATGAAATCTAGGTCAAAACCATAATTTGGCATACAATTTTAAAAGTTCACATCATAATGAACATGTGTACTAAGATTTTTGTTGATGTGACCACAACTTGGTGGTAAACTACCTTAACCAAAAACTTTAACATGATACATGATGTACGAACAGACAAAATAATGATAGATGGACAGATGGACAGACCAGAAAACACAATGCCCCTCTACTATCCTAAGCAGGGCATATTTTTCTATACCAGATGAATAAGATAGACATATAACTGTTATTGCCAAAAATCCAAATAATTGCCAAATGGCACATAATAACTTCTATGATTAAATGATATGTTAAATAATTAATGTATAATAAGTATATCATAAATGTAAAAATCAATAAATTACTTATCATATCATATCATAAATTACAAATGTATTACAAATGTATTATCATAAATATAAACAAATTTTGATTAAAACATAATATATTTTCTTAAAATTATGCAATAGTAAGAGATAATTACTGCAAGGGAAATAATCCTTGCCAACATAAAATGGACAATTTCAAAGCTCACACCGCACATTGAAATTTCGTTCGTATATTATGCACACCAAAAAATGTATATCAATATAAATCTTAAATTATAAAATCTCTATCTTCACTCATAATATAATGAAATAACATATAATTCATATAAAAGCTTTACATTATTTAAATCTTAAAATCTAAGCATGTTTGTAAATATATAATTTTTAAAGCTTGTGATATAACTTAAAATAATAGACAGGATGATCTTAAATTTGCTATTCAGTAGCGTGATACACAACCTTAATCAACATTCATGGATAATTGTGCATCCAATGATTCATAAAAATTAGGATTCGTGTATAAGTATTACAGATAGCATGATTCAAAGTCCATGGTACCATGGTACTATAGATTTAATCATTTTTATGTCAAAGAGCTGACCAAAACAATAGAAGTTCATGTTTAACTTGCAGACACATATCCTACACAAACATCGTGTGAAGTAATGACGTAGCAAAATTAGATTAGAATTGAATGTGCACTGTGACGTCATAGACCGTGTGCAAAGATAATTAACTGCCCAATAGAGTGAGATGACAAGTTCTTAATAAACTCCAATTATAATAAATATAATTTTAATATAATATGGAATTGACACTAAAATGCTTGTAAAACGTATGGCACATTTAGGCAAAGTATATAAAATGAAAGACAACCACACCCATTAATATTACAGCTAAAACATTGGATGTAATCTTCCACCTTCTGTTTTCTTTTATTGACACCATATCTTGTCGAACAACACCATGACTAGCTAAAGATCTTCTGCTCATTTCATCCATCCCACATAACCAATAGGCTATTCTCTTGAATACGCTGATATGTTCTGGAAAAAACATTTAAAAAACATAGATATCAGTAGTATTACATTTATATTCTGCAAAAAGTACTTATAGCCATAAGTAATACGATAGGTACCATTTGTGCAACATGATCTGCTTCCCTTTGAGCTACTGAGACCTCTGGTGGCAGCCATTTTAAACTTCTTATCAGCACTAAAGAAACATTGCTAGTTAATAACCTTCACGGGAACAATAGACTATTTTTATATAACCGACTTGACTCTGGATTATATAATTTTTCGACATGTTACCTTCTATGTGGTAGGACGTCCTGGTACTCAGTCAAGTAAGAGCAACCAAAAGAAGTTAAATAAAACATATTATCAGTGCAATTCAGGGCTTCCAAAATTATTTTTAGCCAGCCGGACATTTTATATATTATCCCGATTTTAATCCCTTAAGACTAAATAAACAAAAGGCAATTATGGTAATCAGTTGCCGAGTTGGCCATCCCAATGATTGACATTAAAAAAAAACGATATTGAACTTTCTTTGATTCAAATTCGAAGTTCTGACATAAACTGTTAAATTGGCAGTGCATCATTCGAAGTGTGCAACATCAGCGTACTTATATCTGCCTTAGACTCTTTATTTGTGCAAAAACTTTACTTTCGTTTTTAAGGAAATATAATACCAGATGTTATCTTGACAATGGTAAAACATGGACCAGAGACGGATACGTAAACTCCGTGTACGTTTGCTCAGCATGAATGAGTGTAAGTAGATCTTTCTACGTTATTTTTTCAAGAAAATATTCGAAATAAACGCGAGATAAAGGTATCAATGACAATTTAAGCATTTTTTTTTGAAGAAATTAGGATGCATAATTAAATTTCACACCTGCGCACATGCGCACACATGTACTAGTTCAAACAGAGACATGTCTCTGGTTCAAACAACGTGGTTATGATGATTTTTCATTTTCACCTTTTTAATTTTTTCATCAAATCATATTTGTAAACGTATTTCTGATAATTTAAATCTTTTTGACTAAATTAATTAGATGCAAACCGCTGAAATGTAAGAAAATAACTTTGAATAGACCGATCAATGTCCGGTTCAAAATAGTTTACCTGTCACCTGAACAGGTAAATTTCAGCTGTGCGACAACTAATTAGTCTTGATTAAAATGAGAAGGTATTAAAGTAGGGGTTGTTTCGATAGTACTTGATAGCCAGTCAAGGTCGTTAAAAACTCCCATTTGTTGTTGTAGTACTTAATGATCTTGTCACTTTTATGACCGAAAATGTGTGGCTGTTAAAGGCAAAAGGTTGGGTCAAAAAGATCACAAATTATGTTAAGATGACCGTCTCTTAAGAAAGCCTTGAAACCTAAAAAGTAGATGACCCTTTCATGCTTTGCCCAGCCGGACTTTTACCGGACATTATACAAATGTTCGGAATATATGACTGTTTTGGAAGCCTTGTTGCAATTTAGGGGAAAAGTTTGCTGTTTTCCGATGATTTTGTTGTCTATTGAAAACATGAAACAGTAAACTTTTCCCCAAAAATGTACCGATTGTAAGCTAGATTTTACAAATCTAAGTTGCTCTTACTTGACCGAGTACCAGGATGTCCTTCCACAGATAAGGTAACCTGTCGAAAAAATATATACTCCGGAGTCAAAAGTCAGTAATATGAAAATATAGTCTATTCTGTCATGTTTGGTATCCATAGATTCACCTGTTTTTGAGAAGAAGTTACCCAAAGTTTAGCCAATCAGAAATTAGGAAAGGCCATGGCAGCCATGTTTGTGAACCAATAAGCACCAAAATAGGAATACTCAGAAATAACCTTAATTGGAACATCACTGCTAAATTAATTTCATTCCGTTCAGTGATTCACAAGAAAAATATCAAAATGTGAAAGATAACAGACAGAAACCTGGGAGGACAAATGCCAACTGATGGCAAAAGCTGAAATGGCCTTCAGCCATGGCAAGTAAACAATAAATTTTATATAAATATTTAAATTTGCCCAAATAGACTCAATAAATATAAAAGAACAAGAGTTCCAATGTCCCCCGCGCTGCACATATTGTATATTTCCAAGTGGCATAACTCTTTTAAAAAAAAGTCGATCGTCCACCATTATAGAATTTGTCCAAGATATTGCTGATATTAACCTATAGTATAAGTTTTATAAAATTCTGACAAGAATTGTACCTGTGAGAGTGCTAACAAGGCCATTTTCCATAAATTTATTATTTCCAAGGGGCATAACTCCTTTAAAAAAAAGTCGATCGTCCACCATTTTAGAACTTGTCCAAGATATTGCTGATATTAACCTATAGTATAATTTTTATAAAAATCTGGCAAGAATTGTACCCGTGAGAGCGCTAACAAGAAAGGAAGGTCGGACGCCCTGTATTTCCATGTCCCCCTTAACGCCTTACGCGGGGGACAATAAGAAGGTCCTTGTGAAATATTGCCTTATTTGGAGGTCTTCTGCTTCAAATGGTAATAAATGTAATCAATATTGTAAACTGCAATATCTCTATAATTACCATTGTATGTGACTTCATTATGTTTATCCTCTAACACCACTTCCACTGGACTGACAATATTTTGTTCATTCAATGCCTCTTTTTCTTTCATATCAATACTGCTGTTATCAGTTATATCTTCTTTTGTTTCCTCGTTTCCTATAGCGTCTTTCTCTTTAAAAACATCCATTTCAGCAGAACCATTATTTTCATTTTCAACAGAGGATTCCTGTTCATCATTCATTACCTTATCAATGTCAAGTCTTGGACGTTTACTGTGTCGAGTCTTCCAGGTCAAACGTTCTAGCTAAAATTAAACAGATAAATAAGAGAAATAAACTGACCAGATTAATGCCGCAAATATCAAATATTATTTAAATTGAAAAAAACAAATATTACTTAAGTTGTTTTTCTTATCAACTTGTTATCACAGCAGAGAACCTATCAGAAAACAGTTTTACTTTATTTTTTGTGTAAAAAATTGACTTTCTTGAAGGCAAAGAAAATAATTATTGCTTTGTGTTAACACAGTACAATAAAATTACCAGTGTTGATAAAATTTGTTATACAAGCTATAACAATTTTTCTAACTCTCAGTCAGTAACTGTTCTACTAAGTCTTCCTTTTTGATGTAATAATAAGGCTTGATCTAAAAGAATATTTACTAGAATTAAATATCTTTCTTTGTTATTTTTCAAATACTGTACTATTCATATTATTAAACATTTCCAGCCTTTATTTTCACCTTAGATACATGTGAGTTTGAGAGTTTAGTCTAAGAGTAAATGAAAGCATACTTCATAGAGTTAAAAAAACTATTAGATGATTGCTTTTTTTAACTGATTCATTTATATTTTGTTACTTACACATTGTTTGTCAATAGGTTTGGTCAACAAACTGATAACAATAGCTGTAATGCCTGTCAGGCAAAAAACAAAGATGGAGAAATACAAGTAGTGAAACTTTGATATAAATGCTGGCCGTGGATCTTGTGTTGGATCACCACAATCTGGTACAGAGTAGGAATATTCCACAATAAACCGGATCAATCCGACTACCATTCCTAACACCAAACCAAAGAATGCTCCCTAAAAAAAATTTAAAAAAACATTTAATTAGTTGCAGCACATCATTTTTCTATCAATTTGCCAAGTTTTTTTTTCTATCTATTAAATCTACAAGTTATTTAATAAAATAAATTATTTTAAAAGAAGATATCATACAAATCGTTCAGTAAATGATAAGACACGGGGGGGTCTCTTCCTATATGAAGGTATATACATATGTGCCGCTGGAATGGGTCCCTTTTTTTGATACGTCAAATATATCAATGGGGTACAATTTTACAGAGGAAATATATCAATAGATATTATTTGACCAATTGTGATATATCAATGGGTCATAATTTTTCAGTTTGTTGTGCAACAATCTTCACTGAATTCACTGTGAAATATATGTATAGGTAGGGATTTCACAATTATTCAATATATGAATGGAGGGTGTTTTTTAAATCCAAGCTGCACAACTGTACCCAAAATCCCATGTTGAGACCCCCCCCCCCCCCCCCCCCCCGTGTGATAAGAGTTTTTGGTTACTTGGTTGGTGGTTTACTAATGGTATTTTGGTTATCTTCACAAATAATGCTCACCCCATGCCTGTCAACTGACCTGATTTTAATGGGTCACACCCTGGAATTTAAGAGCTTACCCAAGATTTGTCAATACCTGACCAGGTAATCAAATAACCCTGGGTTTCATTAAATGACCCATTTTCACTTGTATTCCAGTGCCATGAGATTTCCAATGTCTAAAATGCTAGATTTTCTTCTGAAAGATAGCAAATTCATATTTATCCTGGGCAGGAAGTTCCATAATTTGCCCTCAACTGAATGATTTAATTACAGCTATCAAAACAAAATTTTGACACTATTGATTGAAAAGTAATAATAATTCGCTTATTACCCCAGAAAGGTCAAGCTTGACATATAATTTTATGTCCTGATTTATAAAATTTGCCGTTTGCAAATATCAATTAACCTATTAAAATTATTTAAAAACAATTTGAACCTCTTTAAACATATCTGTTGGAGGGATACAAGTCCCTAAACTATTTTTAACCATTTATTTTTGTTGTCACTTAAAATTCATGTGCTCTACTAATTGCACAGAATGTAAACAACGGTAACTTCTTTTTTTCATCTTCTTCCGCAGTGGCGGATCCATAAATTTTCATAAGTGGGGGCCCACTGACTGCCTAAGAGGGGATCCGCTCCAGTCATGCTTCAGTGATTCCCTATATAATCAACCAAATTTTTCTGACAAAAGGGGGGCCCCGGCCCCCTGGGCCCCCCCTAACTCCGCCTCTGTTCTGATGTATAGGAACACATTAGCTATAGCTGATTTCTTATCATTAACATAAATGATATGTCTCGCCTTTTTGTTATTTTGATAAATTAAAATAGCAATACTTTAACCACTGGTAGTTCCCCATAAACTGACCTAATCACAAACTATTACATGTAAACTAAGCAAAAGTTTTAAAGTTAATAGACCATGACTGAGGATATGGGGCCAAAAAATCGCCATGGAAATGAGATGTGTCAATGCTCATACAACTGCATACCAAATATCATTGACCTACCACTAGCCCATATATATAGTGGTTCACCATAAACTAGACCTTATCACTAACTAATACATTGTTGATGTCGCTGCTGCCGCGGCAGTCGTGGGAAACAGCATACCTATATCTCACTTTTTGACTCCGTCAAGGCGAGACAATAGTTTATTATAAAATTCAATGATAAAAATAGTGTGAATGAAACTATTAGAGGGCATTGCTTCATATGATATTTGATTAATAATAAACATAGCAAATACTTTATGAAGTAAAAATGAAAACATAAATTGAAATTTAAATAATTTTCAGCAAATACTTCACAATTGTGAATATTTGTAGAAAACTGATGTATTTATGTTATAGAATATAGAAAAAAAATTCAATTCAAAAAAGTTTGTACGCAATATGACCTGACTTTTTCTTCCTCAATGCAGGTCATTACCTGCATTTTCATTTTCATTTTCAGAGATTGACAGGTATGTCACACTTGAAACTGTCTGAATATTTACAATTTGAAATAAACCCTAACAAAACAAACACTGCATCAAAATCTTAAAAATATACACAGTATTCTATTACAGTGATTACCAATTCATTCAATCTATCCCACAAAATGGACAGGAGATATACACAGCATATTGGAGGTTGCATAAAACTGGATACTTCTTGTATGTACACAAACAGTTCACTACCTTCTGAGGCTCTTAAAACAGGAATCCAGACAATACTGATAACAACTAACACCACAACAAATATCCTGAAAAAAACATTTTTGCATAGAATATCAGCAGATAATAATGATTCCATGATAACTGTTTATTAACAAATGTATCATATTTTTTTCTATTTTGTCAGCTTGTGTAATGTGTGTCAGATGACTATACTGTACTGCCAATCTCAGTATTTCACAAATGAAATTATAAAAATAATTATAATAATAACAAGCATTCTGAGAGTATTGCATGGCAATACATAGTCCCCTAACTGTAAAAAACTCATTGCACTGGCACAAAATGCTAACTTGATCTATAACTTGTCATAGTGTTAACTATATAACAAATATCAAGTCAATATCTTCAAGCATGATGAAAAAAAGTGTGGAAAACTGATTATTTAAGAGAATTTTCTATGTCCAAGGACTATAACTCTGCACAAAATCATCAGACAGGAACAAAATTCGAACTTGATCTGTATAACTTGTCATGATAAAACTATATAACAATTATCAAATCAATATTTTCAAGCATGATGTAAAAAGTGAGGAAAACTGATTATTTGAGTGAATTTTCTATGTACAAGGACCATAACACTGCACAAAATCATCAGACTGGAACAAAATTCAAACTTGATCTGTAACTTGTCATGATGAAACTATATACCAATTATCAAATCAATATCTTCAAGCATGACGAAAAAAAGTGCGGAAAACTAATTATTTAATGAGTGAATTTTATAAGTCCAAGAACCATAACTCTGCACAAAATCATCAGACGGGAAAAAAATCGACATTGATCTGTAACTTGTCATGATAAAACAATACACCAAATATCAAATCAATATCTTCAAGGACGAAGAAAAAAGTGTGGAAAACTGATTTGCCGGACTGATGGATGGACAGACAGACGGACGGAGTGCAAACCTAAAGTCCCCTTCGACTTCGTTGGTAGAGGACTAAAAATAATTATAACATTGATAATTATAAAAATAATAATACTTTTCTTTCTTCAAAGAGCAAAATTAATTCTCCAAATAAGAGCATGGCTTCAAAGTTTGACTTCAATTCTCATATTTGATTCATAACATACTAAAACAAATATCCAAATTACAAAAAGTCCCGGAAAAACAGTGCCGGAACTCGTTACAATGTATCAGCATTAAATTTGTGGTAATTTAGACTAGACACCATCTAATAAACCATCAAGATGACCTCAGAAGAATTACCGATGGTCATACAACAGATAGAAACATAAATATAAATAAAAATATACAGACAAGCATGTGCAATCTTATAAACACGATTTTTCTAGATCTGTTTAATTTCATGTCATAGATTTTAGAACTGTAAATCATTTTTGTGCCAATTATATTTACAATCTACCTGCCAATTATCATGACCTCTAACTCAGATGCCTTCTTCCTAATGTGTAACCAGATATCCAAAGCAAAGATAGTACAACTACTGTTAAATATAGAAGTTAGAGAGGACATCAGGGCAGCTAACATTACAGCAAGCATCAAGCCTCGTGCTCCTTAAATGAAAAAGTTACATATAAAGTACAAACAGGGCATTTCAGGTATCATATATCTGTACTGTTAACAAAATACAATAAAGAGCTGTGCGATAAGCAAATGATATGCCCGTCTCCCTTTTACCTTGTCTTTATGCTTTTATGACAAACTAGAAATACTGGGAGCACTGTTCAAACAGACCCCACTCCCCTCCAAATAAAAAGGAAAAAAAATAGACATGCACACCTACTGACACAATTTTTTTTATGAATAAAATCCCATACCTCGAAAAAGTAAAATCTAATTTTATAAAAATTGAAAGGGAGCTTATATGTCAATAGATATAAACAATTCCCCAAAGTTTCATGAAAATTAATGAAAGCATTTTTTAGTTATTGTCCAAAAGCTGAAAAATCCCCCTTTTTTATACTCCAATTGTAAATTTTAATAAAATCCCTTAACTCAGAAACGTAAAATCTATACTGTGGATTCATTTATTTTCGTGGGTACCAATTTTCGTGGATTGAAGAAAACTTGCACATTCGTGGATATTTTAATTCGTGGTTTTGGCAAAGTCTGCATACACTCCTTTAGAAAATTGGTAATTCGTTGAACATTTAAATTCGTGGTTCCCCTGTACCCACGAAATCCACAAAAATTGGTATCCAACAAATATTAATGAATCCACAGTATTGTATAAAAATCATAAGGGAGCTTACATCAATAAATAAAAACAATTCACCAATGTTCATGAAAATTGGTGAAAGCATTTTTATTAATTTTCAGAAGTGTTGACAATGGACAGACTGATGAACAGACGGACAGATGGACAAAGGAACAGACTGACAGTACACCATAATACGCTCTGTCTTTAAGACGAGCTTATATAAACCTGATGCAAAACAAAACTAAATGAACATGGTATATCCCTGCTTCTTTCTACTACCATAAACCTCCTTACACTAATGGCAATGACTACCGGTAACCTTTATCAAATCAATAAATAGTGAAGGCTAGGCCTTACTAAATCCTCATCTATTGTCATATATCTCCTTCCAGTAATGGCAATAACTTACTTGGTGGCATCAAATCAAAGAATAGTGAAGGATAGGCAACTTATTACTACACTCTGACCTACTACCACAAACCTCCTTACAGTTATGGCAATGACTTACCTGGTGGCATCAAATCATTGACTAGTGAATGATAGGCAATAATACAATTCTGACCTACTAACACAAACCTCCTTAAAAGTGATGGCAATGACTTTACCTGGTTGCATCAAATCAATGACTAGTGAAGGACAAGCAATATGACTACATCCTGACCTACTACCACAAACCTCCTTATATATATATGACAATGATTTACTTGGTGGCATCAAATCAATGACTATTGTAGGATAGGCAATATTACTAAAACCTCAATTACCACAAACCTCCTTACAATAATGGGCTAATGGCAATGACTTACCTGGTGGCATCAAATCAATAACTAGTGAAGGATAGGCAATATTACTATATCCTGACCTACTACCACAAGCCTTATAGTTAAGGCAATGACTTACTTGGTGGCATCAAATCAATGACTAGTGAAGGATAGGCAATATTACAACATCCTGGTCTTTAACCTCTATCCTCAAAACAGTAATGGCAATGGCTTACCTGGTGGCATCAAATCAATGACTAGTGAAGGAAAGGCAATATAACTACATCCTGACCTACTTCCACAAACTCCTTTCAGTTGTGGCAATGACTTACCTGGCGGCATCAAATCAATGACTAGTGAATGATAGGCAATAATACAATCCTGACCTACTATCACAAACCTCCTTTCAGTTATGGCAATGACTTACTTGGTGGCATCAAATCAATGACTAATGAAGGATAGGCAATATTACAACATCCTGGTCTTTTACCTCAATCCTCAATGTAATGGCAATGGCTTACCTGTTGGCATCAAATCAATGACTAGTGAAGGATATTCAACATAACTACAACATAACTTCTACCACAAACCTCCTTACAGTGATGCCAATGACTTACCTGGTGGCATCAAATTAATGACTAGTGAAGGATAGTCAATATTACTACAACATGACCTACTACCACAAACCTCCTTTCAGTTATGGCAATGACTTATCTGGTGGCTTCAAATCAATGACTAGTGAATGATAGGCAATATAAATATATCCTGACCTACTACCACAAACCTTCTTTCAGTGATGGCAATGACTTACCTGGTGGCATCAAACCAATGACTAGTGAAGGATAGTCAATATTACTACAACATGACCTACTACCACAAACCTCCTTATAGTTATGGCAATGACTTATCTGGTGGCTTCAAATCAATGACTAGTGAATGATAGGCAATATAAATATATCCTGACCTACTACCACAAACCTCCTTTCAGTGATGGCAATGACTTACCTGGTGGCATCAAACCAATGACTAGTGAAGGATAGTCAATATTACTACAACATTACCTACTACCACAAACCTCCTTATAGTTATGGCAATGGCTTACCTGGTGGCTTCAAATCATTGACTAGTGAATGATAGGCAATATCAATTTATCCTGACCTACTACCTCAAACCTCCTTTCAGTGATGCCAATGACTTACCTGGTGGCATCAAACCAATGACTAGTGAAGGATAGTCAATATTACTACAACATGACCGCTACTACCACATTAAACCTCCTTATAGTTATGGCAATGACTTATCTGGTGGCTTCAAATCAATGACTAGTGAATGATAGGTAATATAAATATATCCTGACCTACTACCACAAACCTCCTTACAGTTATGGCAAACACTTACCTGGTGGCATCAAATTAATGACTAGTGAAGGAAAGTCAATATTACTACAACATGACCTACTACCATAAACCTCCTTATAGTTATGGCAATGACGTACCTGGTGGCATCAAATCATTGACTAGTGAAGGATAGTCAATATGACTACAACATGACCTACTACCATAAACCTCCTTATAGTTATGGCAATGACTTACCTGGTGGCATCAAATATTGACTAGTGAAGGATAGTCAATATTACTACAACATTACCTACTACCACAAACCTCCTTACAGTTATGGCAAACACTTACCTGGTGGCATCAAATCTATGACTAGTGAAGGATAGGCAATATTACTACATCCTGACCTACTACCACAAACTTCCATACAAGTCTCAGGTGTGGCACATCCTACAGTATCTACAAAATATTACACATTATTAATTGTACAAGTTGGGATTACCATTAACATATATTTCATTTTTGTGTCTGCTACCAAAACACCCCAGCTTAAAGCTTTTATTGAGACTTATCTCTACAATACATTAGCATTTCTTTTTTTTAAATAATTTGTTTCAAAACAAATCCTTCTTTTGTTTTTGTATTGTAACCTTTCTTACAACAATTCATATTTTTTTACCCCATTTTTGCCTCAACAACTTCCCTTTTCAAGTGGTTGGTAGATGATTTTTAACAAAAGAATATGATCCAGAAAACATGGATATAAATCTGTATGGCCAAATGGAAGTACATTTCAAGTTTCTTTTAGGTTTCTAGTGTAATGCACTGACATAGCAAAAATGAAATATATGTATTATTTCATAATTCAAATAACTCAAAGACACACATGAATATTATTTGATTAATAGTACACAATCTCTTTTCCTCTGATTATAGACCGAATAAAAGTTGCCATACAAAAGTTATACATTTGTAATGATAATACATATATTATACATTCAAGAAAAGAGCTTGAACAATCAGAATGATCATTATTCATTTGTTTATCCCTTTAGTATTTTATTTCAATTGAAATGAAAATATTTACAAAATATGTATGGGAAAACAGTGTATTAACAGAACACAGGCACATGCTCAGTGATACCATAACATTTGGTTAGCATGCAGTATAGCAGTTCTATAAGCAATTTAAATACCAATACAAGAATTAGCAGACTTGTCTGTCTTAAAACATAGGTAATCTTGGAATACAATGTTTGTCTTGCTTCTCCTACATATACAGGTATACCTTATAATACATCATTAAAACTGTTAAAGAAGTAATTTTTTTATTTCTAAATAGGTATAGAATGTTTGTCCTAATGACTTTGTTGAAGGGAATACATTGACATTTACCAACAAGTGCACCCAAATACATATTTACATAACACTAGGTTGGAAATTATTTTCAAAATGATGAACTTGATGTATAGGTTAACAAAATTTATATATGTTTTTGGAGATTTATTTTTTTTGCTGGAAGCAATTAGACAAGCATTAGAAGAGTCATCAAACTCAAGTAACATAACTGAGAAAGTCACTTAGTTCCAAACCCAAGTTACATGACTGTAGGTCACTTAGTTCCAACCCAAGTTACATGACTGTAGGTCACTTAGTTCCAAACCCAAGTTACATGACTGTAGGTCACTTAGTTTCAACCCAAGTTACATGACTGTAGGTCACTTAATTCCAACCCAAGTTACATGACTGTAGGTCACTTAGTTCCAAACCCAAGTTACATGACTGTAGGTCACTTAGTTCCAACCCAAGTTACATGACTGTAGGTCACTTAGTTCCAAACCCAAGTTACATGACTGTAGGTCACTTAGTTCCAACCCAAGTTACATGACTGTATGTCACTTAATTCCAACCCAAGTTACATGACTGTAGGTCACTTAGTTCCAAACCCAAGTTACATGACTGTAGATCACTTAGTTCAAAACCCAAGTTACATGACTGTAGGTCACTTAGTTGCAAGAACAAAAATCAGTCAATAAATTTCCTGTAAGCCTCTGAATCTTAAACTTTAAGTCAAACTTAGGGACTTGTAATTAGATACATTCAAACCTCAAGGTACATGATTGTATAAATCTCTCATCAGTATTTGGGCACTAATTCTAACATTATTTTTTGAAAATCAATGAAACAGAATAGCATACAATAAGTTGGAAGTTATGTCATTATACTGAACATTCCATCTAAGAATAATTGAACTTGGACATCAAACTGAAGTTATAAAAAAAAGTTTTAAATTATAAGACGACATCCTATTATACTCCCCAAGATGCATAATTTCACAAAATTTATATATTGTAAACCATTAGTATCTGAAAAATGGAGTTGAAACATTTTTATACTAGTTCAAAAAAATTTAAAGAAAAAACTAGCTATAAGATATCGGTCACTCCATTTTTTTATTTTGCAGTATTGTAAGACTCTCCAAGATTTATCTGTACATCAAACTGTAAAGCTGTATGTAAGATAACTGGCTGCTACACAGGAGGACATGTTGGTGCAGAGGGTACTCATATAGTCATCCCACAACTACTTTGTAGCAAAATGTCAAAAAAATTTATTTCTTTAGTGAACTTTATAATGAGTGACCCCCAAACACATGAAGCTAGTATACAAAGTTTGAAGTGATTTGTTTTTCATGATAATTAAAGTTTTTACATTTTTTCTCCATAATGAACCAATTTAATAATAATAAAAACAGATTGTGACATGCAAAAGACAAATTGGTGATTAAAGAGTTATTTGTACTTAGATATCAGATTATAGGAAATAGATTGTTACAAGGAAGTGTTCATAGTTTTAAGTGCCAGTCGAAGTTTAAGTGCCGGTCCAAGTTTGAAGTGCAAACTGTAAGTAAAAAAAAGACAGAAAACCCATAAAAGTTTATACTGAAATGCAGAATGCGTAGTGATATAAAAAAAATAACCTTTATATTTTGTTATTTTGGTAACTTTTATATTATACACTGTAAGCCACCAAATAATGGCTAACAATTCATAATAACTTAATAAATTAACCCAATATACCAAAAATTCTACTGCACAATGCCTATGAAGGTTAAATATCTATTTCAAAACAAGTGAAAGATCCTGTCTGCAGGACAGATTTGCTTTTCAAACATGTTTTGAGACTTTCCCTTGAATTGCTGAATCCAACAATGACTGGCACTTTAGTGCTTTTAGCATTAAAATTTCCTCCACCTGGTCCATATTTTTTTGCAACTACGGTAATCATTTAAATTTAGATTCTAGCAAAAGGAAGTTATATCAAATACATTATCAGCTAATATGGAAATGTTGCATTGTTTTTTCTCAAAAACCAATTAGGGAGACAGGTAACCAAAACAAAAACAAAAAGGATAAACATTCATGCTGTAAATAAGTTTTAACAAGACTAATACCAAAGATTTAATCAATTTTTTAAGAGACAAAAATACAATAAAACATTTGAACTTTGGTGGATGGTTGTCTCATTGGCAACCACACCACATCTCCATATTTTCAAAAAGATTACCACTTACAAGGTTCCTGTATTGACATGTGGCAGTGTTTAACTAGTTAGTGCACTTTGATGGTTTACATTCATTTTTTTTGTCTCAAATAGCTTATTTCGCCATTGATTGGTACATTTATTTTCAGCAGTAAGAGTTTATTTTTTGTACAGCCAAATTAATCAATGAATGATTGGTTTTTCAAGGATAAATTTGCAGTTCTGATTCAATGAACTCCACAGAGAACATTAGCTATTGTATATATATATTCAATGGGACAGTTTATTTTGCAAAAATTTAAATGGTCAGTTAATCACCTCACAAAACTGATTCTGGGGAAAGGTTCTATTTCCTTCACAATAAGTCTGGAAACCTAAGCTATAAAATTAAATGTTTGCAAATCATTCATAAACATTCTGATTGAAAAAAGTCAGTTTAAGCTCTTTTTTTATGTCAAGTATGTTCCTTTAACAATTCATCAATCTCAAGAACATTTTTTTGTATCTTTTTAACAAGAAATTTCATAAACTTTAAGGGCTAGGAAATATTATAATTGACTTTAGAAGGAGGTTACAAAAGAGGAATATAGATCTATCCATAATAAATTGGCAAAATACCTTGTAACACATATCAGATAGCCTGTGTTATTGGAACAGACAGTAAATCATTTTTCTAAAAAAACTGTCCAGGCAGATAGACAGAGCTCAAGCAAATCTAAGATAAAGAAGGGTGTGGAAGGGGTTTCAAGAAAAGAGAATAATGGTCTAAAAATTTAAGAATACATAAATAAAGACCTTTCCCCCTCCAGACCCTAAAAAAATTACACAAATCAGTTTCACCTGAACAATTTTGGTTTAAAAAGAGACAATTTTCAAACATATGATTTCATAAATGACCTGGTGCAAGAAGATACATATTAAGTGCAGGTATTTTTATGATAACAGAGGTGGATTAACAATTTTACTTATCATATTTCATAACCACAATTAGCAGTATATGGGTCAAAGTTTTGTTAGCTGATTGACGATAGACTACAAATTCTCAGAAACCCAGTTATCAAAGTTGAAATAATATTATTTACTTTATTTGTCACAAAAAACATTTATAGTTATTTTTACATATTGAAATGAACATTCAAGATATATAGGCATATTAATAAACTTGAAATTATCAAATTCAGAAAAGAAAGAAGAATCTGAATTAAGAAAAGGAATTAAGAAAATGAAATTTGTAATTGCAAATACATTGAACAAAGAAACAATAACAAGAAGCTCATAAGAACCTAAATAACCCACCTGTCATTGTATTGCTGATCAATTTGCTGTTTGCAGTTATCATTCCAGAAAAAGGCAAAAAATTTAGTTCTTGTAAAAAATTGACATTTCAGAGCAATATATATAACTTCTATAATGGTTTCGGTCATATTTGGCATGTATGATGATCTTGTATTAGCGATCATTTTTGCTGTTTAAGGTTTCCACCAATCTATTATAGTTTTCAAGATAATAGGAAAAAAACTTTTAAAAAATTGTCAAAAATTGTCATATAAGAGCAATAACTCCTATAGTCATCCATTGGTTTTGGTCACAACATTTTTGCAGCTCTTGTTTTGCTATTCATTTTTGGTGTTTACAGTTTCTACTTAATATCTATTAGTTTTTCAAGAAAATAGGCCTCCTCATCAGGTGAGCTAAATAGATTTTCACACTTTTTTTTTACTGCTAATTGCTTTATAATTTTCAAACCTGCATATATTTGTGTCAGTCTTTGAATAAGAAACTACTCTGAACACATTTAAATAAAACTGAAAATACTTCCATTACTCTCTGAGCCACTGTTCATGAAAAAATAAACATCTTAAATGATTAAACAAAAGAAAGAATTAAGATGAAAGAAAGATTTTAAAAGCATTCTG